AAGACGCAGGTTAGAGCATTTTTGGGTTTGTGCTCCTATTACCGGCGATTTGTGAAGAACTTTGCAGATATAGCCAAACCTCTGCACAAGCTAACCGAGGAGAAGCGACATTTCTGCTGGGATGAAAGTTGCAATATCGCATTCCAGGAGCTCAAGGACCGTCTGTGCAAAACACCTATTTTGGGATACCCTGATGCAAGCAAAGAATTTATAGTTGACACAGACGCAAGTGATATAGGACTTGGCGGTGTGTTGTCTCAACGGAATGGTGACCAAGAGGTCGTGATAGCGTACTTCAGCAAGTCGTTGTCAAAACCGGAAAGGAACTACTGTGTCACAAGACGCGAATTGCTAGCTGTGGTAAAGTCGTTGCAGCATTTTAGCAAATATCTTCTGGGGCGAAAATTTCACTTACGAACTGACCATGCTGCACTAAAATGGCTATTGCAGTTTAAAAATCCAGAAGGACAAGTTGCGAGGTGGATTGAACTACTGCAGGAATACGACTTCGAGATCGAACATCGCAACGGGAAATCTCATGGCAACGCAGATGCATTGTCAAGAAGACCTTGTCCTGAAGATTGCAAACATTGTACTAGGCAAGAGAGTAAGGAAGTGGTATCCGTAAGGATGCTCAGGGCAGACCACCTCAGCAACGAGTGGAAGGACAGCTTACAACGTGCACAGCAGGAAGATCCGGACATCAAGCCGATCCTGGAATGGATGAAGGCCAGTGCTCCCAAGCCCAAGTGGAGCGACGTCTCAGCGATGAGTTCGACCACTAAAAGCTATTGGGCCCAGTGGGACAGCTTGCTGCTTCAGGATGGAGTTCTGTGCCGTAAATGGGAAAATGTTCGGGGAGACAGCTGTCATTTACAAATCGTTGTCCCTAAAGCTAAAGTACCGGATGTTCTACAGCTGTACCATAATGATTATTCAGGAGGCCATCTGGGAGTTAAACGAACTCTACTGAAGATCCGAGAACGGTTTTACAGGGTCCACTGTCGAAACGATGTCGAGGACTGGTGTCGCAAATGTACAAGTTGTGCGGCTGTCAAGCGACCTCACACTCGTAGTAGAGGTGCATTTAAGTTGTACAATGTTGGTGCACCATGGGAGAGAATAGCCATTGACGTGGCGGGGCCGTTTCCGGAGAGTGAAAGCGGTAACAGGTATTTCATGGTTGTGATGGATTACTTCACTAAGTGGCCAGAAGTCTTCGCCATTCCAAATCAAGAAGCTTCAACAGTTGCTGATAAGCTAGTTCATGAAGTCTTCTGTCGTTTTGGTGTACCTTTAGAGATTCACAGCGATCAAGGAAGGAATTTTGAGTCTCAAATATTCCAGGAAACTTGCCGAGTTATGGGTACTCATAAAACAAGAACGACTTCTTATCACCCGCAATCTGATGGAATGGTAGAACGATTTAATCAGGCATTGGAGAGGTACCTAGCAAAAGTTGTAGACAATCGGCAACGAGATTGGGACAAGCACATACAACCGTTTTTGTTGTCATATCGAAGCGCTGTTCACGAAAGTACAGCAGTGACTCCAGCTTTCGCAAACTTTGGAAGAGAATTACGGCTGCCTGCAGACCTGATCACCGGGATACCACCTGATGCTCCACGCAGTATAACCGATTATGCAAATGACTTGCGGAACAAAATGAATGACGTTTATGAGCACGTCAGACAATCGGGCCAGCAAATGTCTGAAAAGATGAAAACCCGGTATGACCGCAAAATGAACAACAAAGGGTTCGACGAAGGTTCACTTGTGTGGTTGCACAATCCAGTCCGCAGCAAAGGGAAATCTCCTAAGCTTTAAGCTAAACGGGACGGCCCGTACCGGATTGTGACCAGGATTAACGATGTAACCTACCGGATACAGAAAGGCGCAAGAGGGACTCCTAAGATCGTCCATGTGGATCGCCTAGCGCGTTATTATGGGACCGATAATGCTCGGGACGAGCATGTCTTAGGAGGGGGCAGTGTTACGCGCTCCAATGCCTCAAATCGGCGCACTAGCGCCATCTAGTCTCGAACCGAAGAACTAAACTTCTTGAAGTTTAAAACTCGAACTCTCGGTACCTTGCGCGTGTTTACTTGAACATTCTGGATATTTTGCTAATTTATATAAGTAGGCGCTGCAAGATGCGATCGAGGTAGACTTGAACTCGGCGACACAAGCGAAGCTTCGGAGCGGAATTAAGTAAATTAGTGTGTTTAATCATTAGTGTTTTAAGTTTTAATTTGTGTAAAGCAAATTAAAGTGTTAATTTAGGTAATTTTATCGGCAATTTTTATTGTCACGAACCCTAAGCTCGTAACATTATTTTTAATCTAGTTTCAATCTTAAATTTTTATAACTGTGCCATTAGAAATAAGCAGTAACAACAAATACGAAGAAACTGATTAAATCTTGTGTTTTAAATTATCCGTTTTTAATGTATTCTGGTATTATTCAAACCAAACTGTAAATGATTACCAACTCTAAATAATAGATATCGATTTTTTTAAGAATCGAATTTTGTACGTTCCCATTTTTTGGTTGGCATGCTTGGTGCAATAAGTCTGACAGCTGGCAAAATGTATTTCTTAGATTTGGTTGACTATAAACAGTTTTCGGCCAGGTCACGTTTGCTAACTTCAGTAGCGCTGACACAATCCGCCATTTTGGTTATTTTGAAGTAGAATTTATAAGTTGTTTTGTGCAATATTAATTTCAAGTATTATAATGACATGAATATACGTAAACAGTGTTCAGATTCTTTCAAATATAATGGAAATACGACCACATTATTAAACCACATTAAAAATAAGCATTCAAGTGTTACCGTCGAAGAAAGAAACATAAGACCGACTTCATCATCAACAAATGAAAGTAATACGAGTACTTCGGTCGATTCATCCCAGTCACTGGTATCCACATTACATGTTGAGCCTCCTCAAAAAAGGTTAAGGCACACTCAAACCCGCCTTACTGTGCCAAAAAAAAATTTACGCATAATTCTGGTGATGACGCTTTAATTAATTTGATAGTGAAAGATTTACAGCCATTTCAAATAGTGGAAAATTCAGGTTTCCAAGAATACTCGAAAGCATTAAATGCTGATTATCAGCTACCGAACAGAAAACAATTAGCTTTGATGGTGGATGGAAAATATAAATTGGTGTCCGAATCTTTAAAAAAAAAGTTAGAAGATGCTTCGTATTTAGCGTTAACATCTGATATTTGGACATCAGACAGTAATAAAAGCTTTATAAGTTTGACTGCACATTACATATATCAATACAAATTGAAATCTGTAGTTATTTCGACTTCATAAATACAAATACAGCACACGACTGAGAATATTGCATTGGCTATTCAAGAGGTAATGGACTAGTGGCAAATAAGCTCAAAAGCAGTAACTATTGTCACAGATAATGCTGCAACTATGAAAAAAGCAGTAAGTGAATGTTTGAATAAACGAAATCATTTTTGTGTTGCTCATACACTTAATCTCGCGGTTAAAGACTGTATAGAGAAAGAAACATTTGATTCAGCAGTAAACACTTCTGTCAGCTACAACAACTTTTGGCAAAATGTCGAGCAATTGTTTCGCATTTTGAATATAGCACAAAAGCTTCCTATACCTTGCTGAAAATGCAAGAGCAAAGTAAATAAATTAAAACTCAAGCAAGACGTTCTTACTCGGTGGAATAGCAATTTTTATATGCTCGAACGTCTATTGGAGGTTAAAATATCGCTTTCTGCAACTTTGTCACAACTGGATTCATCTCCGCCAAATCTGGATTCCAGTGAATAGATAATAGTAGAAGACGTGGTGGCACTTTTACGCCCTTTCGAAAATGTTACTGTGATTTTATCAGGAGAAAAATATCCAAGTTTGTCTTCTGTTATTCCTCTTGTACTTGGACTATGAAAAGCTATAGAAAGCAAGACGCCAGTAACGGAATTGGCCAAGAATTTAAAAGAAAGTCTTTCTGCAGTAATAGAAAAACGACTTGCAGTATATGAGACTAATAGAGCATCTAAAGCAACCTTTCTCGACCCACGCTTTAAAAAAGGTTTTACGTTACAAAGTAATGCCAATAATGCGCAAGTGTGGGTAATAAATGAGTTATGAAATATGAGCACCGATCAAGTCCTACCTTCATCTAGCTCAAATAGCCCTCGTACTTCATTTGCATTTGCTGCTACTGCTTTGGGTAAAGACGACATTTGGGGAGTTGTAGATAAAAAAAATCATGGAGAATAGTGCTCACCCAACTTCATACACTTCGGCAGCTATGATGGTTAAACAATATATTCAATTACCATATCTTGACAGAAAATGCGATCCACTTCAGTTTTGGAATGACAAGAAATGTTTATTTCCGGGATTATCCGAAATTGCTCATAAATATCTTTGTATACTAGCATCATCAGTCCCTTCAGAGCGCTTATTTTCAAAAGATGGGATTTTGTGCAATGACAGAAGAAACCGTCTAGCACCAAAAAAGGTTGACCAAATTTTATTTCTCAATAGCGTTCCATGAATGTTTATTTTATTTATTTTTAAGAAGTACTTAACACGTTGAACGCCATAACGGACACCATGTGTCCGTCAGTACACTTTCTTCCGGGGCCGCACCATTAAATCACGAATCTTTCTAAAATTTTTGTGGTGTTTTTTTGCAAAAATTGTTAGGAAATAACTCAAAAATAATTGATGTTGTACAGAAACTGCGATATAAATATTATTTTCCGAGATGTCAAATGGCGGACACTAGTGTCCGTCGCGGCCTGCCAGAGCGTCCGACCGTCTTTTCGTGCGCGGACGCCGCGCGGGTCATACTGTCGGCTCCCCCCTCGCGCTACGTCACACTCGCTCGCCCCAGCGCAGCGTTACGCGTCACTCGTTCATTTGCCTTTGCGCTTGCCTAGGAGAATGTTGTGTTTCTTTTCGCAAAATTAGGGTTCCGTGATCGTAACAAGTATTCTATTTTTTCGTCATGGATGTATTTGAAAACTTTGAAGTTACCGAAGAAGATTTAGCACAAATAGAAAACATTGAAATAAACTTATTGAATTCAAGTTTTCACATATCTTCAGAAGATGAGAAAGAAAATATTTCAGCATTTCCGTCGAACAAACGTCGCCGCCGTATTATCCGCTCGGAAAGTGAGGACAGTGGATTAGAAAATACGACACCGGATTTGCCAGATCACACTCGAACTGATGGCGGTGGATGGGGACCGCCAGAAGGTAAACAACGTCGTTTGATTGCATTCACTGACATTTCGGGACCATCATACGCTGTTCGATCTACAATGGTAAATAAGTCTCCATCTGATTTCTATTCGCTTTTTGTCACTGACGATATGTTGCATTTTTTTGTTTCTGCAACTAACCAATACGCTATTGAGCAAATAACTATGAAACCTAACGCTTCTGCTGGTGCGCGCATCAAACAATGGGTTCCAACTAACTATACAGAGATGAAAAAATTCTTGGGCATGCTTCTCTTCATGGGTGTGGTCAAACTACCAAAATTATCGGATTATTGGTCGAAGGACGAAGTTATCGGTCATCCTTTTCCTAGAACTGCTATGTCACGTAACCGCTTCGAAATTCTGCTTCGCATGTTGCATTTTTCTGAAGATGACGAGAAAAACAAGGCCGATCGACTTCATCGTGTAAGGAAGCTAATGAACGATTTGAATGAGTGTTTTCGGCAACATTATACGGCAAATGAAGATATTTGTATCGATGAGAGCATGGTGCCATTTCGTGGAAGGATTTTATTTAGGCAGTATAATAAACAAAAGCGGCATAAGTATGGTGTCAAACTATTCAAGCTGTGCTCCATTCCTGGATATACACACAAAGTTAATATCTACGCTGGAAAAAACATGGACACTATAAACACAACACCCACAAATGTTGTGATGAATATGTGTGAAGGCTATTTTAACAGGGGGCATACTTTGCATACCGATAATTGGTATACCAGTATTGATTTGGCGCGAAGACTTTTGGAGAAGCAAACTCATCTTGTCGGGACAGTCAAGAAAAATAGGAGGGGGCTTCCTAAAAAAGTAACCAACACGAAACTCAAGAAGGGACATTACTGTGCGGAGGAGAGCCGAGATGGAATAACGGTGATGAAGTGGAAAGACAAGCGCGATGTTCTTGTTTTATCCACAAAGCACTCTGTGCGCTTCGTTGAGATCATAAAACGTGGACAGGTTGTGAAGAAGCCTCAAATCGTTTTGGAATACAATAAGGCCAAAGGAGGTGTGGATTTAGCAGACCAGATGGCTTCTTATTCAACTCCACTTCGCAAATCCATCCGATGGTACAAAAAAATTGCATTAGATATGCTTCTAAATATAGCTATGATCAATGCTCATGTTTTGTACCAGTCTGTAACCAAAACAAAAATAAAAGTAACAGATTTTAGAGTTGCAATTTTGAAATCATTCTGTGCTAAACAACAAGCAGATGAACCAGCCTTAACAAGACCGAAAAGACAGAAACATATTTTGGTGAAGTTAGACGGCCCATCAAGGATGACTAGACGAAATTGTGGAGAATGCTACAAAACGAATGTCAAAAACTTGGGTCGCTTACAAGCACGAAATAAGACGAAAAAAGTAAACACTTTTTGTAGCGTTTGTCCTGAAAAGCCAATTTTGTGCCATGACTGTTTCTTTAAACTGCATTTTTAGATTTTTGTTATATTTCTATATATCTTTGTATTTTTCTAAAGATAAGTTATGTTATTTCTAAGTATTTACATTTTCTAATTGAAGTGCTTTTTATCGAAGTCCATACATAGTGATTGTAGGTTGCTGATTTCAAGACTTTTATATATATTTTAAAGGTTTAACAATCGTTGTAATGCCACACATTTTGTAATATCTTTGTTGATCTCTTTAATTTTTTATTTTATCATCTTTTGTTACCAACAGGGTACCAATTAATCTACCTGTTCCGTTTTTAAAGTTAATTATTTTATTGTAATTATATCATTAGTTAATCTGATTAAACGATTGATCTCATTCTTTGCCATTAAACATTATATAAAAATATAATGACTTTGATTCATTTCAATTTTCAAATTATACATAATATATATATGAATGTATATGTTCAAATAAAAAAAATCCATTCTTTATTCACCTATATTGGATAAGTAAGCTAAATGAAACACAAGGTAAACCTTAATATTTTTCGTCACATCGTGTGTTTATTGCCTACTGAACCCATTCCTTATTTGATACGAACTTGACGGAAAACGATTATAATAGTAACGACTTTCTAAAGCTTTAAAAATATTAAAAATTTTCGCCTTTCTAAATATAACATAACTCAATTGAACTTTTCAAAATACTTACTATAAGTACTTAAAACATTTTTGGGAACACCTTGTAGAAAAGTCCATAAATTCGAAATCCTTTCGATTTTTTTTGTGCCAAGCGGCTAAACTGTACTATAGGGCCGCGCGGATCACTTGCCTTAGTAAAAATAGTCGAAACAGTATCCGTCGGCTGTCTAGAAGCCTTTGTAGTGATCGAGACCATGCGGACACACGGTGTCCGCCACGGCCCCCTGGACCCGACATATTGGCGGTCACAAGGTGTCCGCCGCGGCTCCCTGGACTAAATATGGTTTTTAGTGTGGCGTTCAACGTGTTAACAATAGTTTGTTTATTTAACTTTGATTTAAAAAAGAAATGAATATTGTGTTTGTTAAAACTTATAAGAAGTTTGATTAAAACTACTTCTACGGATTTTATCGCGTTTATAATATCGCGATAAAATCCGTAGAAGTAGTTTTAATCATGTATAGTGTTCGCGTAAATATAAGAAATCATTATAAGAAGTTTGTTTTAGTTATTTACATAAGATTTTTATATATTTTTGTTAATTACTAATTGGAAGTTAATTGATAGGACAATATTTTTCGTTTTGTTTTTAGTATCATTTTCCTTTATATGAACAGTTAAGTACAATGTAATTAAGACTAAAATATCAACATATAATTTAAATACTGCAAGAATAATCTTTGTAATAGTAATTATTTAATTTTCTCCTACTTGAAGATATTGTGATTGTGAAACAATTATTTTGAAAAGACTGCTGTATGATCACATAGTTTGATTAATAATAAATATAAATATTTTTAAAAATTTAAATTCAATCCAAAAATACATAAATAAATGATTCGATTTCAAACAATAATTTCCTTTTTTACTTTAGTTAGTACTCTTCCAATACATTAATATAAACAAATAATATAAAAAATGAAAGAATTGAAACAGATAAAAATATCATTTGTATGTTCTAATTTTTTTTTTACTATTAATGCGAAGGTGAGGGAATAAATTGGTAAAAATTTAAAAAAAACATTAACTCTTACATCTAGTTAACTCGAGTTACGTAACTCGAGTTCAACCTAGGAATGTTAAAAAATAATCGATTTTTATTTAAATCGATTATTATTTTCTTATAATCGATTTTATGATCGATTTATATAGAAATATTAATCGATTTTTAGTAAATCGATTATATAAATTACGTGTTTAAATCGATTTTCAGAAACAGCTCGTATCTATGCGATAGATGAAAATATCTTGCAGTAAGTTTCCAATCTAATCTAAATCCTACAGTAATAAAAGATTCGAAAACATCCAAAAAGTGCACCTTTCTTCGGTTGTAACGTTTTTAGATCCCAGATTCAAAAAAATTCATTTAAATGATGACCTTTTTTCCTTATCAAAAGCAATACATTATACCAAGAACTGTTTAAACTGGAATACTAATGACAATTCGGGAACGTCTAGTTCTGAATCATATGTTTCATCAAAAGCGACTGTCGACGGACAAGATAAGTCTGGACATTTGTGGCAATAATTATTTTTAATTTTATTATTGTTTAAACTTGAAGATTAACGAAAGATTGTTTTATATTTTAGTTTTTGAGACCATAATTTTTTATTTTAATACTAGTCAAATATAAAATAGGACTGGAAATTTGTGACATTAATTATTATTTTTATGGTTTAAACTTGAAGATTAACGAAATATTTGTATTTTAATTTAGTTTTTGAGACTATAGAGTGGTCGTTTAGTTTTATTAACTGTCATTTAAAGTAAGGTCAGTGTTTGGAAGTCCGTCTGGGAGGCAAGACCATCTAGCGGCAATAACTACCATTTTTGAACGACTAGGTTTTTATGCCTCGGTCGGTAAAACAGTATTACGGAGCTAGTTCGAACTAAGAAATAAAGATGTCGCTAACATCATTAGGTTGAAAGAAATCGGTCAGCGATTTTATTTCGCGTTGTGAACTTGAAATGGGAGTGTAACGTCTCTGAGAAAATAATCAAAAAAAGTGGAAAATCGATGGTGTTTTTGGAGTTGTTCTGATTACGTAAGTCATTTAGTGATCCATATACTTATTTCTGGTGATGAATACATTAATATCGCTTGAATTTCGAAATAATTACCTTCACAAAATACTAACCTTAAAATGTAATAGTTGGGAAGTCCGTCCAGCATGCATAAGGAAAGTCCGTCATATGCCGGCCTTGCCTCGAATGCCGATATTGTCAACCTTTTCAGCTGCACGTATTTAATAAATTATTTTTTTTGTTTTAAGGGTGCATAGTGCGTCCATTAGCGCCGCCAATCAAGAAAAATCATTAAACGAAATAACTAAATATGTTTAATAAAATTCTGAAACGTACAAAACTAGGTAAAAATGTAAACTATTTTTGTAGGCACGTGTTTTGTCCTGGTTTAAATGTGTTTGTGTAGTTACAATCTGGATTAGGCGTTAATCCAGATTGTTACTACACGAACACATTTAAACTAAGAATTAACGCATACAAAAATAGTTTCGAACTTAACTTAGTTTTTATAAGTTTTAAAATTTTAATAAACATACCTAGTTATTTCGCTGTAATGTTATTTATTGATTGGCAGCGCTACTGGAGGCTCGGTGCGCTCTTATGTAAATCTTGAAACGTTGTTGCTATGAAAGCTTTTCTCGGGTTTTGCAAATTACTGAATTTTTGGTTTTACGCATTGCTCTTAGCACTTCGATTCCCTTACGAAAATGGCAAATATTTAACAAAATAGCTACTCCATTTGGGAAAATCACAAAACCAGCGAACCTGTAACTTTTTTGTTTCAGATTTATCACCTACACGTCATGCAGAAAGATGCCTGATTTTCTAGATATCGATCGTGTTTTGCAAAGAACCGATTTTGAAAGTTTAAACCAAAAAAAAGTGGCCTTGGTTAATAACCCACTTCATACTTGCAAAAAGTTGTTTTAATTGTAGCTACAGATCAGATATTAGCTATCCACGCCATCTTAAGGTTCAAGCATCGAATATACAAATTGTACTAGAATTTCATTTTTTCTGGTGTCAAGGGTATTCCAAATTTGCTATTTACGACCATTATCCCAGCGAAGAGTGAGAATTTTGCAATTATGGTCAGTAACTATATAAGGAAAACGGACAAAGCGTCCTATTCTAGGGAGAAGCTACAAGCAGCAGTAAGAGCTGTAAAAAATGGGGAGCTGAGTGGTTACAAGGCCTCTCAGGAGTACAAGATTCCGAGAATGACCATAATGGACCACGTTAACAATAAGAGGACCAAATCAAATTCACTAGGAAGAAACACAGCATTACCATTACAAGTAGAAAAGGAATTAGCTCTCGGTCTTCACCTGACGGAAAAGCATGGCTTTGGATTGACAAAAACAGAAATGCTGGAAATGGTGGCCGATTTTGTGATAAAGAACATCAAAGGATCTTTTGGCATACCTGTCCAATTATTTTTTTAACCTCAAGACGGCGGTGCACATTGTACAAATACTTTTACAAAAAAAATACAAAGGTAAAAAAAAAGTAAAAAACGAAAGGAATTTGACAGGTATGCTAAATATGATTGAAATATTTCTGACATGTTCAATTAGAAATAAAGATTTATGTTTTTACTTAGTATTTTATTTAAAAGAAAATTCGCTACAATTTTATAGAAAATGTTTCCAACCACTGTCACATAAGATATGCCTGACTTGCCTTAAAATGAAATAAAATTAAATAACTTTGAAATTTAAACCCTATGGACAAAAACATTAAGCACACATTTCAACGCCAGTTTTGCATCACTGCTAGAAATTGTTTTCATACATATTGCGTCACAAGTTATGGTTATATTGCTACTAGACGGACTTACCTCAACTCCGTCTCAAGTCCGTCTACACGCCGAGTTTTAAAAAATAACATATAATTCTAAAGATTATTGCAATTAATATAATTTTTAGACCAATATAAGTAAATTAATATATTACTTATAATTTCCGACGACACAAATCACTTTAGAAAGCGTATCTCGTTCAATAAGTTTAGTTAAACTTAAAATATAGAAAAGTATGCCGGTCTTCCAAACACTGACCTTATTTTATTTTAAAACTAGTCAAATGAAAAATAGGAATTTTTTTATTGATTTCTCTTAGTTTTTGAGACAATAAGTTTGTCATTTTGTTGGGATGATCATCATTTCATTATTTGTTGTGATTTAGTGTATTGTTGGTTTTTCGGTTAACCTAACATTTTCACAAATATTTTGTTCACCAATTACATTCAAATTCAAAGACTATGTAACTGCTCTAGAATGTCTCAACAATCTTGTTGTGTGCCCAACTGTACAGTTACACTTGGAAATGGTAAGTTAAACGTGATATGTTCATAAATAAAATTACCTCTTTACTTACTGGTTTTGTTATTGTATAAGTAGATAGTAAAGTCACAGCCAAAAGCAATTGCCTATATGTACTTTTAGCCTTGAATAAATCGAATACACCTAAAAGTAACCAACCATAATCAGCTGCACCCAGCTGTTGTAACCAGCTGAACTCCCGTAGCCGGAAGCTCAGCTCCCGTAGCCATTTAATTGCTGACTTACCACGTGCTCAATACGGTATTTTTTACTTATTATAAACACTACTACTACACTAATAGGTAATAAGTATTTTTTTATTTATTACTTATTATACAGTGTTTGACCATAATTCTAGGTGTGATCATCACCTGGTGGTGATGAAGCCCTAAGTTGTAAATCGCAATGTCTTCGCGTAACAAAAGCCTATTCACTCTTTAAGGAAAACATCGTGAGGAACCTCCATGACTAAGAAATTAAAAAATAAATAAATTGTATCTTGTGTAGTCCGCTAACATATATTGGGTAGTGTGGCGGACATATTCTGAATAAACTTTCCAATATGGACCATCAATTTAAATGCCCATATTTTTTTGGAGATAGTACTCACGATAAGAAAGCATTTTGCAAAGTTTTAGGTTGCGGAAAATTACGGTTTATGATACATTTTTTTTTTACTTTTCATACAAATTGGCTTGGCACTTCACGTTTCAATTAGTTTCCCTTCACAGCTGAACATGTGGAAAATCGGTACTTAAAATTTTATTGCAGCTGGCGAGAATCGTACCCAGGTTGCTCGTGTACTGTGAAATTTAATGCTAGCTCTTAGCCCCTGAGCTACCATCATTCTATACACTATAATTTTTGTTAAATATGTTAGGCAAAATATGAGTTTACAAAATTAAACAAATAACACTAGTACAAAGCTTGAAAGGAAGCTCCAACCACAATATGATGTAATAGATTAAGTTATGGAATAAAGAAATTGAATTTGAAAAATGATTTCTTAATCATCAATTAAATATCTTAAATTCTCATTCCGTTTTTCATTTGCAGAGCAATTAAAAGAACTACCTACATCATTCCGAAAGGATAATAAATCTCCTTTAAGCTTTGGTAAGATGAAAATTATTAGTTTAAATATGTATTTTCATGTATAAGTCTTTTGTAAGTTAATTTTTTTATTTTTTATGTGAATTAATTATTCTTTTCTTTTTTAGTATTTAGAAAAACATCTATACCGATGACAAAAACGGAGATGAACCTGAAAAAGAGCCATAATTGACCTGAATTTAACATTTAATATGCTTGTTAAAGATATGTCACCAGCTGCTAAAACATTTTTAGCATGCAAATCAATGAGTCGTATAAAAAACCGAGAGGAAGGAGATTCTCTTTAGATGAGAAGATTTTGGCACTTTCACTATATAAACCCAGTCCAAAAGCTTATATACTTTTAAGCAATATCTGTGTTTTACCTAAAAAAAGAACACTGGAAAAGCTCCTACAGAAGGTTCATATTCGAGCAGGAATAAATGAATCTATATTTAATAATTAAAAAAAATTGTTAGTAAGATGCCCACAACTCACAAATATTGTACAATTATATTTGACGAAATGGCAATTACTCCGAGTCTGACATACGATAGAACAAATGACATCATCCATGGATTTGTGGACAATGGACAAGAGAGACAAAAAGAATTTTGTGATCATGTGCTAGTTTTTATGGTGCGAGTAGTTAAAAAATTTAAACAGCCCATATCATTCACATTCTGCAAAGGAAGCACTAAAACAAATGATTTAAAAAGACAAATAATTAGTGTTATTATGTCAAGACACAGGCTTAAAAGTGATCAGTACTGTTTGTGACCAGGGATCTTCTAATATGGCAGCTATAAATTTATTATTAAACAACACAAAGGCTAAATATTTAAGAAATAATAAAAGTTACACATATGGTTTGGTAACAAACTAATTTTAAGTCTGATTTCTTAGATTCTATGTGAACTTTTGATGTGGGAAATCGCGAAAATGGACTCATCAAATTACGGAAAGAATAACAAAAATTGTATGAGTTAATTAGAAAGATTTTTTTAGATAATATTATTATTATGTTTTGTTTCGTCAATATTTGAATTTTTAAATAGTGTTGCTCGCTTCTCTTACTATGTATATATTATATATATAATATAGATAATTGGGAAATTACTGACAAAATTGTAGCAGCAATCGGTGATAACGCTTATAATATCAAAGCTGCTATAAGACTTAATGATTGGAAGCAAATACCTTATTTCGCTCATACTCTCAACCTTATAGTCCAATCTGCATTAAAAGATATAAAAGATTACCACAAAAACTAAACAAATTGTCGAATTATTTCGTAGAAGTCCACTTGTATCTGAGAAATTAAAAATATGCAAAAGAAGCTAGATGAACCCCTATTGAAGATAAAACAAGACGTTTCCACACGCTGGAACTCCACGTGTGATATGTTCGAAAGGGTGTTAAAAATTAAAAACAGTGTTATGTCCACAATTGCTATCGATTATCCCGATACTATCTATAAATATGACTTCTGAAGACATTGAGGTTTTGGATTCGGCAATAGAAATTCTTTCATTTTTCAAAGATGTAACTGAGGAGATGAGTTCAGCAAAGAATGTTACAATATCAGAGGTGAAGTAATAGATAACGCATTTATTTTCGATATTCAATTTTAACATTCTTTTTTCGTGTATGAGGTGTTTTATAAATTTCGGGTTATACTTATATCAAACGCCCTCAAAAAGAAATGTCTAAAATTTTTATCTACGCCACATCCGGACTGTGTCTTTACGAATGACCCAAGTGCTTTTAAATGAAATTAGCACAAGGTTTTCGTGCATTGAGGAGAATAATAATTATGCTGAAAGCACTATATTAGATCCAAGATTCAAAAAATATGGGTTTGAAAATGAGTACGCTTACAGTAAATCATGTATCAAAGCCATGGCCGGGCGAATTCAAATACAAAGCACATGTACATCAGAGCCGCCATCTTCGTCGCCATCCCGTAAGCGTAAACATAGCATATGGAATGAGTTTGATGAGCAAGTAGATATGATAATAAAAAATATTAATCCGACTGCAGAGGGTATTATCGAAGTCGATAAATACCTCGAGGAACCCCTACTGCCAAGGTCCCAAGATCCTGCCAAGTGGTGTTAATATGTTATTTTTAAAACGGCTTTGTATTGGTGCCACTTCAGTGCCTTCCGAGCGCACTTTAAGTAAAGCAGGCCAGATCCTTACCGAGAGAAGGAACCGGCTTAGTGGCAACAAAGTCGCGCAAATATAATTTTTACATTCTAATTTATAATTGTATATGCAAGCTTTTTTATTATATTTTTTAAAATATATTTCTTTATCTTTTTATTTACCTACTTACAAACAATATAATCGTGTATGTTAATCGTTTCATAGTCAATGTCTTCAATCAGAGTACAGATTGTAACTGTACGGCAATAACGTCAAATGTCATATTTATTCTCGTAACTTCAAACGTTTCGTCGGGCTTCAGCACGCCTCGCCCAAATACCAAACCTCATTAGCCTCACCTCATTTGAAGTGAGACATTGTACTGGCTCAGTGCAAAAAAGAGGCTACTCTTACAAACTTTATTTTATGTCGTGTCTAGGAGTGGGCAATACAAATCGTATATAGATACAATATCTATATATCAGTACAATATTCAACATCTATATATCGGACGACTAACCAACTATATATTAGATATTACGATATCGCTGCCGCGGCAATACGGCTAGCGGTCTCTGAATCGCAGAATATCTAATATCTACTCGAAACGAAAACGTAAAATATCTAAATATATATGTTACTTACTTTTTAGTACTATTATTCGGATTCGAATACCGAACAAACCGTGAGCGCGGTAGAATATATAGCTGAAACTGATATTACGACTACTTCACAACTAAAAGGTGATACGCTTACGCCTAATATTATTAATATTAATCCTTATTAGTAGTAACATACGATTTATTACAGAACACATCATTTTTAATATCCAGTCTGAGTGGTATTTTATTAATATTTTGTTGTGTTGCAATGTTTTCGAAATAAACGACTTTAGATCTTATTGTGTATTTAATAGAATGTTATTTTTAATCCAATTAATTTTAAATATTTGTAACACGACCTGAAAATTTAAGTTGAAACCGACATTCCAACATTGAAGTACCTGTTTGCTCTTGTGCTTTGGGTTTCAACAAAAAAAGCTCTTTTGTTCTATTTTTAAATTTTATTTACAGATTCGTATACATGCATCGTGAATTACGTCGCGTAATTTGAATGCAGATGACATATTTTATGTAGTTTCTCTGCTCACTTTCGTTTATAATTCGGTTTCGAAATTTTAATTTTAATTAGATTTTTTTTTTCGTTTTATGATAGTTTTTTAAGTTTGAACTGTTTTTGTGTATAAAATGTAGTGTAAAATAAAATATTATATAGATGCGTAGATATTAGGTAGATACTGTACATTTTTTAAACAAATTAATTTAAGTTTAGTGTTTGACATTGTGTAGAACCAATTAAACCTATTATGTATAACAATGTCCCGTCCGCTTACACGCATATTATGGGATTATTTTGAGAAGTTAAGTGCAATAAAGTAAACGAAAAAGTAAACGAGTAAAATAATACTTTGTAATAGCGCCATCTACTTCATTTTATACGTAAAATTATTTTATAGAACAAAAATTTATTAAATCTCAAGGTGGTACACACAAAATACGCTAGATGGCATAAACACGACACGATTTAATTTAATATAACGAAAACATCAACAAATATATTGTTATCGTCTTCCGGTCCTGGGTTCACGAGCTCGTCGCATAATTAAGTTTATTTTAATTTCCCAGAGAATTACAAAACCTTTATAAGATTAATAACCTAATTTTTATAATACTTAATAAATGATGATTAAATAATAACTGACGCCTTCCGCTTGTCAGCTTCCGACGAACCTAAGATTAATGTTATTAAATGTGTATAAACAATTTTTATTACTGTTTAGTCGTTGCTATATTGATTGACAGTTATTTTATAATTTATGATGCAATATTTATATTAATAAGAATATTAATGTTCATTATTAGGTTATTATTAAAATTGTATAAAAGGCCGTTGTGACGAATGATTAGTCAATTGTTTTGTAACCGCCAGTAAGTAAAGGTGTGAAGGGTAACTGTCAGTTTGTGAAAGTGATTACAAAGTATATATATACCAAGTAAAAATATCGTTTATCTGCGGTTAGTCGTACCTAGTCTGTCCGCCATCCACAATATAGTTATTGAAATATATAGATAGAATATCAGATATTCGTTTCCAATACATATTACATAGGTACGATTTGATATAGGCTAAAAGTGATATTACCCACCCCTAGTCGTGTCCTACCCAAACCCAACACTAGCCCGAACACACTGACGCTCTGCATTTTATTATATCCTAAATAATCTCAACATTGTGATGTAGACATACTGTCTTGTACAGCGACATCTAGTAGCGATTACTGAAAATTTTTGAAAATGGCCGGGTGGCATTGATGTCACAGTCCTATGTCAAGGTTAATGTCATACTTAAGGATTATTCTTATGTTTAGTGCGTGGTTTTATTTTTTTAGACTTGTTCTTAAATCGGTGTCCCGCGTATTTTTTTTTTTAAATATAAACGCAATGTTGAGTAAAATACTGGATTTGAATGATAAATAAAATTTATAAAATAATAGCAACGGATATTGATGCAATCGATTAATTAAAACAAGTTTGGTTTTATAATGCACGACCACTGTTTAACATTTAACATAAGTAAAATGGTAAAAAAATCTTAAAATTACTTTCATTTTTATACGTTACAATCTAAAGATGAAATATAAACTATTAAATAGTGCTTTGACATTAGCTTTTTTTATTATATAATTTACGAGGACAGCAAAACATTACTTCAGTTTGGTTAACGTATTCGTGGTAACGTTTAAGCTGACCACGAAAGCAAACAAACTGACTGCTAAAGTGACGTTTACACGGCGCAAAATAATGCTAATTGTTTCTTATATTGATTTTATTTAATAATTTAAATTTTATTCAATTTGTTACAAATTCAGCGTTAAGTTATTTTGTTGTCTATTGTCACGCATTATTAATTCAATTGTTTGAGTTAGTTAAAAATTCGGTTTGATATTTTTACCGCAAGGAGGTGATAATTATCGAACTTTACTTTAAATTCAAGCTTTTTAGTTATTGATATTTTTAGGCTTTATAATGCCGCTTACGTCTGCTGAAAAAAATTAAAAGATATAGAGAAAAGTTGAAGAAAGAACGACCAGCCAATATCAGTCATTATCGAAAATCTAAAAACACGCAATGAAAGTTTTAGAAGAAAATACTATTGTTTAAAAGTTGCCTCTAAAAGAGAAAAAATAGAAATTGAAAAAGGAAAGTAATGACATGCTGCCTAATAGCGTCGAGTGATAAATTTATAACAGAGTCAATTTTGGAAACATCCAAAAATGTCCTCTATCGTCTCAGAACAGGACTGGTGACAAGATTCGGCCTAGTGGAACGAAGTAAATCGTTCAAGACATGCACGTTCCTCGATCCTAGAAAATCAGATCACTAAAATCAGATAATTTGTATCTAGGACCTAGATACAAATTATCTGATTTTAGTGATCGGAATGAGGTCAAAAACACAAAAAATCATATCCAGGTTATGTTAGTTACGATGATGCTCAAGAGAGTTCACAGAAGGAACAATTATCTTCTATAACAGCCAGTCATACAAAACTTGATGGCTTTCGTGCTATCTTGCACGAAATAATAGGCCAAAAGCAGCACGCAGTCGGGTTATCAAAGGCCATTAAGGAGATCGGCATATACTTAAACTGCGACCTACAGCCAATCTTCCACGGTGACAAATGCAGCTGTCCCCATCAGTGGTGGCGTGGCCACAAATTTATATATATCCACATCTAGCCAAACTTTTTCAAAAATATGGAAATATAATGGCTTCATCTGTTCCATGTAAACGTATATTTAGCAAAACGGGCATCTTATTAAATGACCTTACATCCCATAAAAGAAAGACAACTCACCTTTTAAAACGTAAATTTAGATGAGAATAGGTTTACAGGAATAAGTAAAACCATAATGGAAATACTTAATTTTTGTAAATAATGTCAAAAAGTGTGTAAATATCATGAAATGTATTTTTAATTACGCCTTTAATTACGCATTACTTTTATTAAGAATTATTGTATATCTTACAGACACAACTGTCTTAAAAAGCAAATTTTATTACTTATCTACCTGAACAGGGAATTTATAACGCGAAGATATATATTAACTTAATAATACTTCGCGTTCCTAATTCCCTTTTTAGTACTATTATTAAGTGATGCAGTCAGTTCTAAGCCTCGAAAAGAGAAGAGACTGTGCGTCCATATATTTTTGAAGGAATGGGAAGAAATGATCGACAGCGACGCAGAGTACAAAGAGCGACAAAGCTTTTCTTACTTACCTCATTCAGTTGGCGTATCCAATATAAGGAATTATCAAGATAAATACCAAGATTTTTGACATTGTCAAAGTAAGGGATTACAACTCCATCGAATTCGATAGATGTTGTAATCCCTTACTTTGACATTTGACATTTTAACCCATATGACACTCCACTCACGGATAATATTTAAATCCTTATTCAATGTAGCGATTGCGTTCGGCAAATTCTCAAGACTTGACTGGGTGTAAATCTGAACACCATCCGCACACATGTGGTAGAGAGAGGATATTTTATGAGTGATTGAATTAATAATGAAAATGGAAAAGAGTAAAGGTGACAACATGCCGCCCTGCGACACGCCTGCAGTAATATCACACCAAGATGAGTGAGTATCATCGACACGAACATACAACCGACGGTCAGAGATAACTTTGAAATCAGTTAATTACTGATGAAGATATGTTAATGGAACACAACAGACTCAGCTGATGGTATTGGAGGTTATATAAAAAGAGCTGCAGACAATCTAGTAGTGACTGGAAAGGACATAATCAATGTTAACCAACCTCTGGAAGGGACAAGCAGAATTTAAATATATATATAAAAGCAGAAAGAAAAAAGATCTACATACGGAAAGAACAAGTTGATGCCATCAATATTCAGATTCTAAAGAATATTGTCCCTCTAGTTGGAGCAACTCGATTTCATGAAGTGTTTTCAAATATTCGAGGCCAACTTAAATACAAATATTAAACTGTTTCTGCAAACGAGGATTCTACGAATATTTAAACCAAAGCTTTACTATCCCATACCAGTTTCAAAAAGAAATGATACTACTCATATGGTTTGACGGTTCGATTTTTCGGAATTCGGAAGGGAAGGTTCGATTTTGGCGATAACTTAAACAATGATAATTTACCATTGAGTCAAATGCTAACACCATCTTATGAGAATGACATATCGTTCAAAGATCTTTAGACATCAGTACCAAAAAATATAAACAAACGCGTGTATGGTTCTTCAGATACCTCTGAAAACAATAGAGACGAAGAAGAGCTGCAGTCTTTATCTCTACGAAACTATTACAATGAAGCTCACAATATCTTACCTAGATTAAGAGATTCTGAAGGTGAGCAATCCACATTGGAACAAACTAACAACGTACCTGGAAATTATGAGGATCAGCTGACATCAAAACTACATGACAATCTATCTAAATTTGACTTAAGTGGACATTATGTATCAAGACAAAACGATAACTTACCAACATACGATTTACCTGGAGGTTGTGAAGCACATCGGCCATCTACATCACGACAACATAACAATTTACCAGGACGTGGAATCTCCATTTACTAGTCAAGGTTTACAGTGCCTAAGGGAAATCGTATTCATATTGTTCTGTTGCTCAAAGTGACATCGAAGATGATGGTGACATTAAAGTCACATTTCAATGTAGGACACTCGATAAGTTTTGAGATATACAAAAAGTATTCTAGATACTAATAATATTCATTTTACATCTTTTCAAAATATTCTCCATCATGCTCAATACAAAGTTCCATTCGCCTAAACCAATTTTGAAAACACTTTTGCCAGTCTTGATCTGACAGGTCGGAAATCGCTTCTTCGTAGGCAGCCACGGCTTCTTCGGGGCTTGAAAAAAACTTGCCTTTTATTTTTTCTTTGATTCTTGGGAACAAAAAGAAATCAGAAGGAGCTAAGTCAGGGCTGTAGGGTGGGTGACTTAGAGTTTCGACACCAGATTCCTCAATAAATGCTTTTGTTCAAAGGGAGGTATGTGAAGAGGAGTTATCGTGATGCAGCATGATTCCCCGAAACCCGGTCTTTGGTCTTCTCTCCCGCACAGCTTGAAAAGCTTTGGGTAATTCAACTGTAGTATATCATTCAGAGTTGTCTGACCTACAATTTTCCAGCATTGACGTTGACAAATGTCCGCTACGCGAAAAAAAACCAGCCACCATTTTTTTGCCGACGTTGCGAGGACTTTTCAGTTTTGCCGGTAACTGCCCTTCTAAGTAGACCCATAACGATAATTGCTTTTTGTTTTCCGGTCTCGTCACCAGTAACGATTTCTGAAAAACGCCTAGATACCCCGTTTTCAAAACGTAGACGCATTCATAGCACCAATCCACACGAGTCTGTTTTTCGCTTTCGGAGAGCAAACGAGGGATCCATCGACAACAAAGCTTCCTGAATAAAAGATGTTAAATGATGTAGGATGGTATGAATGCTCCCCGAACTAATGTCTACAATCTTTTCGATGTCCATATTTATATGATTCGTGGGTCTTCTCGCACCAACATTTCAGTAGTCTTTAAGGATAATTTTACCCCCTTTGAATTCAGCAAACCACCTAAAAATTGTTGCGCGTGATGGAGCTGAGTAATGCTGATTGTAACCGTTGTAAACTTAATTGTTCGATTAAACCAAATTTAAAATCATAATAGATCATAGCGCACAAATGTTCAAGGTTAAGATCCATCGTTTTAAATGAAAAGCGCGGGAAGCGTTGCAGGAAAATTAATAGAACTTTGTTTTATTTTTTTTTAATATTGGGCAACTTGTTTTTGGAGTCCTATTTTTAAATAAATTTGCTTTTTAGAAACACATAACACGGGTGCGTTCCATTTTTAAATTTCGAGCATCTCAAAACTTATTGAGTGACCTACGTAAGAGCTGTCAAACGAGGATTTTTTTTTTAAAAAGATCAAGTGTATTACAGTTCTCAGTTTTTTTGAATATGTTATTTTGCAACGATGCATTTGGATATACAAGATTAGATTTTTACTTCACAAATAGTTTTTATGATTAGTGTGATGGAAAATTATATTTTTAGTCCTGAAGACTGATTGATTTTTAAGACTTGCAATTTTAAGATAATATTTTGAGATCTTTCGATGTCGATATGGAAAAGTTCTTTTGTTTGATTTTGGTGCTCTTTTTGCTCATTTGGATTGTTTGTTTTTGTATTTAATGTAACAAAAAAATATAATATACTATTATTGAATGGCTCAGGAGTACTTAGCCCTTTTTGTTTGAATTTTAATTTTAAGTTGATTGACTGATTTTAAGTTATATTTTTATTAAAGGTTTCGATTTTGGTATCTTGTTTTTCAGAATCATACTTTAAGATATATTTGATCTGTTTAAAGTTTAGAATTGCATAATAATTAATAATTTAATAATAATAATTATAGAGTTGCATAATTTTTAATATATAAATTTTTATTCCTCATTTATACGCATATATTTTAAAAATATTTGCATCGTCACAACATCCGTGCCTTGTGAAGGAGTGTTCTCAGGGGCAGGACAAATTATAAGTCAATGCCGAAAGCTATTAACGCCTGATAAATTTCCATATTGTTTTTTTTTATAAAGTAATATATAAATAAGTACTCTCTGAAGTTCTTGGTGTGTAATAAATATTGTGATAACAGTGTAATATCTTATAAACAAGGCTGTTTGTTGACTGATTATTAATAATCTAATCATAGCTGATCAGTATGGTTTAATATAAATTATATTCTAAGATATGGCTTGATATAAATTATATTCTATGAAGAATTTATTTTTTAATTATAAATGTGACACTGGGAAAACTACTTGTTTCATGTGGCATGAAGCTATCGCGTAACGTGGTGCTGACGAAATAGCCTCTAGCCTAAAAATGTTCATAATAAGTTTGCCCGAAGAAACAGAACGCTTTATTATTTATTCGGATAGATGTCCCGGGCAAACCCGCAACAACACATTAGCTGTTATATATAACTACATACTTACGCAGAAACATTTAGAGTGTGATGCTGACCATGCCTCAATCGAGCGAGCCAAGAAGAAATATAATGGAAGAATTTCAATTCCAAATGACTGGTACATGCTTGTGAGAATGGTCAGCAGTAAGTTCACTGTGATAGAATTGCCACAAGACATTTTTGCATTTTCGAGCATTCTAAAGCAGTCGCTTATAAAGAAGACCAAAGATCAGAATAACGAACCTTTTCTGTGGCGCAATATATTTTGGATACGTGTCGAGAAAGAACATCCTTGTTTCTTTTCATTTTAGTATTCACTGCGAGTGGAAGACGAGTTTAAAATATGCGACATGAAGAGGAAAGCCAAGTAAGGCGTACAATCAGCCATTATTAATAAGTAAAGAAAAAAAATAAGGATATTTTATCTTTATTACAGTACATTGATCTAGTGTACCATGATTTCTATAAGAATGTAATAAAGTCTGACAACGACGTAGTAGACACATCACATATTAGTGATTATAATTCCGATTCTGAATAGAAATTATTCTATTATTAAGTCTATTATCTTATTTTTTAATGCTGCTTCGAGCGCAATGTTATATGCCAAATATTCTGCATTGTCATTTTAAATTTAAATAAAGTATTTTTCTCATAGTTGCCTTTCATTCAATATATTAAATATATATTATATCACAGTTATTATTTGATCAAAGAAAAGAATACGTGAATACTACGCATTCCACAATGAACTTTAAGTATTTTTACAAATTAGTAACACATTTCCTTAATTTTAAAAATATTTTTAAGCTATTGCATAGCTTCTATCGCGGGCCTTGACCGAATCCAGAATCCAGAAATTCCGTAACGAAAAAAAACCTCACGCTCCCCACTCCGACGGGCACGGAGGTGTGGCGTTGAAAGCCGTGCATCGTCTAACGTCGTTTCAGTTCGGCAGACTTTGGCACTCGGCAGACTTCAGCACGGTGTTTGTGTGCGTGCGACTAGACGTATGCGTGTACACTAGTTGCTAACTCAATGATAAAAATTCCTGAATAACCTACATGTATTGTAAGATATTAAAAATATTTTAAACAATATTAACTTCTCATTTATTCAATAAGAGAAAAAAAATTGTTTTCTTATCGGTCACCACGCTCAAAAAGTGTAACTTGATTTAATATCAAAGACTTAACTGCATAAATAAAATAAATAAATAATTATAATTGCATAAGTTGATAAAAAATGCTATGCAATAGCTTTACCGCGGCAGTCACCGAGTGCCACACGTATTTTTTTATATATCGAGTGTTTCATATTTTAATAGTGCCTTCAAGATTTCTTAATAATTTAATTGCTTGTCCTGTAAAATAATGAAATTGCATTTATCATATTCTGAGCTATAGCCACAGATATATATATATATATATATATATATATATATATATATATATATATATATATATACAATATGTAACGTAATTAACGCACACCCTCAGAGACACCAATTAGTACATTATGTTATAATGATAATACATACACTGAATTTTTAGTTAAACATTTTTATGCATTGATTATTTATCAAATTAGTTATACTAATTCTGGAAGAATATTGTGGTCACAGTACAAATCCACGAACGCAAAGACTTTACGTGCTTGAAATAAAGTTCATTTTTCTTTATTTTTATTGAATGACAGAATTAGTAATAATACAAATAAAACTGAACTCATAAAAGTTACGGTCCATTTCAGTTCGTTTTGACTGTACAGATTTAGTGTCATATACTAGTAGTTTTAATTAAGTTTGGGATAAAAAATTACCTATATTAAAAATGATAGGTATCGATTTAGTAAACGATGCTGAACAAACTACTTTCTCAGTGTGTTATGTTACATGTTGTATATATATATATATATATATATATATATATAAGTCGCCAGTTGGCACGCGTTCTTCGAGCGAGGTGGGCGATTTCGCGATAAAAAGACACTGGAGATTTAGGAGAGGTAAGTTTTTACCTAAAATTACTGTTTTAAATACAACTATTTCTTAATATCTTTACTAACGTTTTGTGACGTTAGACTTAAGAATTGTCTGTAGATGTACTTTATGTATATTTTTAAAGATAATTTGAGCATGATGTTGAATACGGCCTAGGCCTTATTTGTTGCCCAATAGGCCTTATTTGTGACCACAGGCCTTATTGAAAATGCTTTTTTTCAATGTTGGTACATTATATCATTGCTTGACCGACCATTTGGTGATAATAATTGATTTTGGTGACAATGCAGTGTCAGCGGATTTGGCAATCTCCATTTCCTTAATTTTCAATATTCTATTGCAGAGTTATGAGTACCTATCATAAGTCCCCAGAAAGATGTCTCCATCAAAACGAAAACGCGCTACTTGGTCAGAAGATAGTTTGGCCGCGGCAGTTCGTGCGGTACGTAATGGAATGTCAACTTATAAAGCATACCCAACATATCCCGCGAAGAACTCTAAGAAACCATGTCAAAAATGGGAAGATCACCAAAAGATTAGGAAGACGGACTATGTTCACTTCAGATCAAGAAAAATATTTTGTAAAACGAATAATAAAATCTCGCAGCGGGGCATACCTTTGACTCCGAAAATGATCAAAATATAGGCGTTTGCTTTTTGTCAGAAATTTAGTATACCTCATAACTTTAATGAACAATCAGGGCTTGCTGGGAAAGGATGGTTGAGGTTGTTTTTAAAAAGAAACCCAGAGTTGGCAAAGCATAAGGCACAGAAAATTGAATGAACCCCTTGTGTCCCACCATTTTGAAAAAGTAAAAATACTTACGATGAATTAGACTTGCATGACCATCCAGAAAAAAATTATAACATGGATGAAAAGGGCTGCAGGCTTAGGTTACATTAGCAGCAGACAGTGATCTCACAAAAAGAAGCAAAGAGGGTACACATGCAAGCGGCAGAAAATGGAGAAAACGTAACAGTTGTTGGTTGCGTCAATGCAATTGGAAATCCTGTACCTCCAATGATTTTGTTCAAAGAAAAAAAGAAGATGGCAGAGTATGAAAAAAATCTTCCTTCTGGGTCTATTGTGCAAATGGCTAGAAAAAGAAGCATGACAACAGATCTATTCATCATCTTTATTAAACACCTAGCCAAATTTAAAACATTTGGAAAATGTTTACACATTTTTGATTGCGCAAAGTGCCACCTGGATTTTCGCATCGCAGAAGAAGCTGAAAAAATGGTCTCTTGTAGCTTACAGCGACACAAACGAATCTTCCGACACTAAAACAAAAAGCAAATTTGTACAATCTAAAATTATCAGCAAACTTTTAAACAGACCTCTTTCAGTACGACGTTTGAGGATTTATTCTTCTACTGATGCAGAAACAGACGTCGCGAACGAAGGATCCAAAGTAGTATCTGTTCCTCAGTCTCCACAAACTCTTGAAGTCGCCGTAGATGTACGTCTGTCTCCTAATTCAAACTTACTTGAAAGATCCAAACATATTATACCTCTACCTCAGCATTCAAAATCTAACATTTCAGCAAGTCCGACAGTTTCATATCTACCTCGTCCTCAATGTACGTCTTACAAGCCCAAGCAATTCATCTAAAGATTTATCAGATGAAGATGACGTGTCTTTAGTGAAATTAAGTACAAAATCTCCATTCCAGAAATGTATGCAACACTTGATTACGGCGATATTAAAACTAGACCACGAAAAACAGTCCTTAAACTATAAAGGTCAAAGAGTAACAAAAGATTTGTTTAAAATTAAAAATACAAAAGTCGGCGAAAAGAAAGCAGTTTCATATAAAATAAAATAAAAAAACCTGTAAAAAAGACACTAATTCGAAATCAAATAAAAAGACTGAAAGAATAGCACTAAGAAGAACGTAACAACATGAAGGAGGAAGAAAGTTGGTACTGTCAAGCCTGTGATGAAGAAAAAGTCGCAAATACGAGATCTTGCAGGCAGGCACTGTTCTAGGAGGTATCACGATGAATGCATTGGAATCACGGTACAGGATTTTGACGCCTTTTTATGTCCTGACTGTGATTAATTAGATATCTCTTTTAGTTTATTAGGATTTAAGACTGATGGAAGTTGCTTATTTGATTTTAATTTGATTTTTTCTTTGTGGCCTTAATCAGACACGGCATTGTAATATGGCCTACCGAAAAAAAAAGTTTCTTTTTTTGTATTTTTTGAAGTAAAGGGGTAGTTAAGTATTAATTTGTTACAGTGGAAATTTAATTTTATTGATACTTTACATAATTTTGTTAATAATAGAAGGTTTATTCCGACCTAATGATAAAAAGGCTCAATATTTTTATTTCTTTGTAAAAACTTTTTATAACTAGGAAAACAGGCTGTCTAATATTATGAAACCTCATTTTGTTAAGTTTAAGCTTAGTTTTGGAGAATTTTTAATTTGAAGTATAAAGGCCTTGTTGTACGCGATTTAATTTGGTCAAAATGTTTCTTTTCGCCGTTCAACAGGAACTTCTTTTGCTAGAGCTAAGGGGTTTAATAAAGAAAGTGTGAACCATTTCTTTGATCTCTATGAAAAATTGATGGATAACTACAAATTCCCTCCAGAAAAATTTTCAACGTTGATAAGACTGGCATCAGTGTTGTGCCATCCCAAATGCCCTAAGTCCTAAGTCAAAAGGGAAAACGGCAAATCGGTTGTTTAACATCAGCTGAAAGGGGGTCTTTAATAACTTGCGTGATAAGCATGAGCGGTGGAGGTTCATTTGTTCCATCCATGATTATATTCCCCAGGAAAAGAAGTCACCCGCTTTTAATGAAAGGTGCACCTCCTGGAGCCATACATGAATGCCACCCTTCTGGTTGGATTCAAACCAACTTATTTACAAAGTGGTTTCAACATTTTATTCAGCACGTGACACCCTCAGAAGAATCGCCAGTATTGCTTATTTTAGATGGCCATACCAGTCACACCAGAAACCTTGAATTGATAGATCTCGCAAAAAAATCATGTGCACTTACTATCAATTCCTCCAAATTCCAGTCACAAAATACAATCTTTAGATAAATCATTCATGGGTCCGCTAAAAAAATATGTTTCTGATGAAATAAGATCATGGGTGAGGAACAATTCACGCCCTCTAACGCAATATGACATGATGGAAGTATTTGGACGCGCGTATCTACTACGCACTCAAAGCGGTGAGATAGCTGTCAGTGGTTTTCGTGCAACAGGTCTATATTCGATAGACAGAAATGTTTTAAAAGATCATGATTTTATAGATATGAATGACCAAGAATGTAGAATCTCCAATCAAGAAAATATCACACCAGAACCAACTACTTCGTCTACTCCCGCAATAGAAAATAAATCTTTTGACGTAACACCTTCCATAAATGAACCTGATATAAGTAATGCAACAGCTAATGTTGCTCCCTCGGCTTTAAGAAACCAGAACAAAACTCCAACTGGAAGTTTAGAAAGACTTGTAGTTCCCGTTGCGACGTCACCACAGCTATCAACTTCAAGAGATAATAACTTTATAACGCCATTCCAATTATCTCCGATACCAGAAATAGCACCTAGGCAAGCTACTAACCAAGACAAAAGGGCTGAAAAGTCGACATTGCTTATTTCATCCCCATACAAAAGTGAATTGCTAGACTCATTAAAAAAGAAACAAGACCAAATCTAAAAGACTATGAACAAAGCCAAAAAAGGAAAAGGCAAGGGTAAAAAGACAAAGTCAAAATCTAAGGAAGTACAAAAGTCTAGCTCGGAGGAAGAAAATGAACCTTTGTACGACGACAGTTCTGACGAAAGTCCTGATAGGAGCAATGTTTCTGATGCAAAGTGTCTGTATTGTGAAGGTCTTTATTCGATGGATAACAGAGACGAATCATGAATTCAATGCCTATGTTGTAAATTATGGGCTCACGAAGAATGCTCAGGAGTGGAAATGGATGTTTTCTTCTACAAATTTTGTTCTGCAAATTAATGCAAAGTTGATTTCTTTTGGTTTTTGATTTTTTTGTTATGGTGGACAATATGACTCACTTCAATTGTGGCCAATATGGCTCTAGGCATTATTGACCTACCATGTTTGAATTTTAATGATTCCTTAAGTTACAAAAAAACGTTTATTAAAATTATGTTTCGATGTTATTAATCTTAAAATTAAAATTGTTGATTACTGTTAAGGTGGATGCGTCGACCGTCCGCCCATACATTTTTGAACCAAAATATACACTAAACACAGACACTCTTTCTTTAAAACTAATCATTTTATCACTTCTCTACAATGAAATGTGTACGCGTCTGACCTTTATAGGCAATAACTTACATTATATACTGAGAAAAACAATAGTGAAATCCCGGAAAAATTTGACACTTCTTTAGTAGTGTGCGTGACTTTTGACAAGCAAACGAAAGGCGACGTTTAAACATTGGCACGCTAGATGGCATCCAAGTGATCTTAAAATAATTGATTAATTTCCTTTTCAACCGTTAAAAAAACAGTATAAAATAACATAAAACTAATGACCTTAGACACCTATGTTTTTTGTAAACAATTTTATTACTTATTATTGTTGTGTGGCAACATAAATACCAAAAATCGTAGGTAAAGCGACGTTGCCGTCCTTCCTGACAACAAACTAATAAGAGTACTAACCGTAGACAGAGAAGTCTACGGTACTAACGTATTCTTGACCTTGAATTGACGAAACAAAAGCGTTGCCAAACTTACGTACGTTCACTTGTTTGACTTGTTATAAAATATAATATTCTGATTTCGGTTGTCACGCGCTATGATTTTCGTGCGGAATTTCTTGTGTATTATACATATTTTGTATGTATGTGTTCATTGATTCGAATTGCAATATTTCTCTAGTATATATTTGAGACTATATTGTAATTTATCGTAGGTATAGTAATTAATTATTCTAAAAACGCAATTATGTTTTCGGTAGTATTATTAACAGCAGACTGGCCCGTGACTTTTCTGAAATATCGTCACAATACTGATTACCGACGTCATACGTGTCAGTGTTTCATATATGAATGTGTTTGAATATGTTTTTGGTTAACAGTAAATACAATTATTATAAACCGGTAAACTACCAAAGTAGTCACAAAATTAAACTTGCAAACATTTGCTAAATATGGTTTTGCCGGGTTACATTAAACATCCTATACGCATTTTGCAAACAGTTTCAGACAGACACACGTTATTAGTTTGTTATATTTTGTAGAGCTCTAGTTCACTCGTCACTACGTCATACCTTATGGTGCATTCAGATACAAATATAATTCAGTTACATAAAATCCTTTTTTCTGTTCCGTGCTTTATTGTTTATAAATAAATAGCTTATTCTAATCTGAGTTATATTTTTCTTGCTTATGATTATGGAAAGACATCGAAATATGTGTGAATCTTTACAAATTGAATTTGTTGGTGAAAGACTTGATGGATTTCGAAGTGAATTATTTTTCAAGTGCAATATGTGTGATAAAGTATGGAGGCATTTTACGGAGAGCAGTGATAAAATAAATACTGCATTTGTGTGGGCAACTGTCACTTCTGGTAGCTTCTACACTCAAGCAGCTCACATAACAAGTCTTATGGATATTCCAACAATGTCAGCTAATAAATTTCGTCGTATTGAAAAAAAATTAGGCAGTGTGTGGTTCGAACATTTGACAGAGGAAATTAAAATTGCTGGTGAACAAGAAAGATCAATTGCAATTAAAAAAGGTCATGGGTCTTCAGATGGAGTTCCATTTGTTACTGTATATGTAGATGGAGGATGGTTGAAAAGGTCATATGGGCGTAACTATGATTCATCATCTGGTATGGTAAGTTAATAATTTACTAAAAACAAATTTGGTTCTTTATATTTTTATTATGTGCAATATTTACAAGTATTGCTTTTCATTTCCAGACCTGCATTATTGGTAAAGAAACTAAAAAATGTCTATTTCTTGGTGTTAGAAATAAATATTGTTATACATGTCAATATTATGAGAGGAGAAACATGGATATGAAAGCACATACTTGCTGCAAAAATTTTACTGGACCATCTACAGCAATGGAATCAGATATTGTTGTGGAAGGCTTTCAAAAAAGTGAAGAAATACATCAACTTCGCCTTTTGAGTTTTATTGGTGACGGAGACTCCTCTGTGTTTGAAAAATTGAAAGAGAAAGTGTCATATGGGAACATAATAAAAAAAAATTTAATGCAAGAATCATGTAATCAAAAACTATACTAGTGCACTCTACAAGGTAAATGAATAAATTAAATTTCTAAAGACATCTCAAGATCAGTGAAGCATATTATTCTGTATTTATATTTTGTACTTTTTAGATCTTGGCCAACACTAAGCTCCCTCTTTCTGGGCGAAATATTTTCAAGCCGAAGGTGATGAAGCTTACACTAGTAGCACGGAAAATTATCATGCATAGCAGTGAGCATACTGCTATGGCAGCAGATTTGAGAAATAGCCCGCTTCATGTATTCAGAGTACATGAAAACTGCAAGGATTATTACTACAATATCAATAAAACATTGACAGATGGAAGTGAAAGGAAGGAAGAAAATCTCGCAGAAACTCTTAAAAATAATGCTCCAGAGGTGTGGGCTCTGATTTATGCAGCCAATGAAAAAATTGCTTTGAAGGCAGGTCGTTTGTCTAATGAGACGACAAATGTGGCAGAAAACTTTATGAGCGTATTAAACAAATTCAACTGTGGAAAACGAATTAGTTTTGGAAAATTAGGGGTTCTTACCTGCGACGTATTCATGTGGCCGGTAAATATACAGTAATAACAGTCAGAAATTATTAGAACCAGTAAGAAATTCTTTGATTATGGCTATGGAATATCATCATTCTCCTCTTTATATGCAATATGTCTTTTTCTTGGAATATAACATTTAAAAATGTTTTCAGGCCTATCGCTTGCTAATGGACACAAATGGCATGAAACTGCACGGAAAAAGAAGACCACACAGAGCCCAGGGATACATTTAAAAAATATATATATAAAGGAGAAGGAACAAAGCAGTGAAGAAAGGCTAGCAGAATTCCAAAAGTCACCAGAAAACACTGCTTTGATTGAAATGTCCACTGTAGGACAGCATGAAAATGATCTATATAGTACTCATAGGAGCGACCGTTTGACTGCTAGTCAATTTGGAATAGTGAGTTGTGTGGTGGGATAATGATGTTAACAGATATTATGTATACTTATAAACATACATTTCTGGTAAAAATGCGGTATTTTACAATAGAATATCTTTATAGAAAATTAAAATTTTAAAAGTAAACTATAACATACATTTAGTTTATCTGAACTTTTTCTCTTTACAGGTTTGCAAATGCCGTATCACCACCCCATGTCACAATCATGTAAAGGATATTCTGTATAAAAAGATATTTGCACAAATGACATGTTATATGGGCAGCAATATGAAAATTGTAGCAAAAAGTATGTTCATGCAACAATATAATAAAATTGTCAGGCCTTCAGGCCTTTTTATTGATGAAGAATTTGGATTTTTTGCTGGCAGTCCAGATGGTAAGTCTTTCTTTATCAAACTTCAATTTTATCTTTGTGTTTGGCAAATGTTGCCAAACATAATACTAGTTATAATTGCGAGAAACAAAGAATAACCAGCACTGTAGGCCATTGAATTTATTATATCCAATTTCATGAAGAGATCCATCTCAGTGTTTTATATTTTATGGCAATTTGTTACAGGTATAATTGAAAATGAGAGAGCTGTTGTTGAAATCAAGTGCTTTCCATCATTGGCCAGAACAAATCAAAGCCTAGAGGCAGCTGCACTAGAAAAGAAGAACTTTGCTCTAAAACTGGATAATAATGTTTTAGTCATGAATAAAAAGTTTACTATCAAGTAAATTGAAAATTCTATTGCATGTCCACATTTTACTTTATTTCAGTATCTTGTTTTCTCTTACTATAATCAAATTTTATTTCAGGTCCAAGTACAAATGTGTGTTGCGAAGCTTCGGAGTGGAATTAAGTGAATTAGTGTCTTTAAATTATTAGTGTTTTAACTTTAATTGTGTAAAGTAAATTAAAGTGTTAATTTAGGTAATTTTATCGGCAATTTTTATTGTCACGAACCTCAAGCTCGTAACAATTGGTGTCAGAAGTGGGATAAAATCATGCCGATTTTACCTAAGGAGGAAACGGAGGGTGTCCGTACCCGCAGTCAACGCCAGCATGAGACGGACCAGAGGAGATTTGGTGGTGCAACGCCACAAACGTCGGAGGGCCAACTGCCAGCCACGGAGGCTGCGGGCCCGTCATTAGCTCCTACACCTGCAGCACCTGACTTAGGTGCTCTGATGGCGATGCTACAGGAGCAGCTGCAGCGCGGACGAGAGGAACAGGCCCGTCTGTTAAAAGAGCAGCAGGAGGAACAGGCTCGCCGACAGGAGGAACAGGCTCGCCGACAGGAGGAACAGGTCCGTCGGTTGGAAGAGCAGCTGCGAGGCGGCCAGGAAGAACAGATGCTTCTCATGAAGGACCTTCACGCTACCTTCGGGAAAGAGATAAGGGAGGTGAAGGATAAGGTTGCTCAACATGATAACCGCCTGTCGGAAGCTGAGACCCAAATCAACCAAGTTAAGAAAACGCTGGATGAACTCAAACTTGGGGATGGAACCACAGCTCCCGTAGTAGCTTCAGCACCTTCGCTACGTGGGTTCAAGGTGCCACCGTTTGACGGGACTTCTTCCTGGTCAGCCTACAAAATCCAGTTCGAGGCTGTTATGAAGGCGAACGGCTGGAATAAAAGTCAGGCCATGACTGCTCTCACACTAGGCCTGCGCGACCAGGCCTTAACAGTTCTGGAAGCTCTCGGTGAGGAAGTGACTTATGAGCAACTCCTTGAGGCATTGGAGGCGAGATATGGCGACGCTCACCTGGAACACGTCTTTCGTGCGCAGCTTAAAGATCGTGTGCAGCGCATCAACGAAAACCTGCAGCAGTGGGCTCTAGAAGTGGAGAAACTGGTGCGAAAAGCATACCGGTCTGTACCTGCGCTCATTGAAGGGAACCTGGTGCAGACATTCATCGACGGCATCCGCGACCTGGAAGTCAGAGCTGCTGTGAGGCTCGGGCACCACGAGACGCTTAAGGACGCCTTGGCCCATGCACTGGAAGTGGAAGCCGTGCGGCAGGATCATCGTTCCCATCGCGTCAGGGAGGTTGCGGCAGCTACAGTTCGCGACCGCAACAAAGGATACAGCCCTAGGTGCTATGGCTGTGGGGAAAAAGGCCATCTTCGAATCAGCTGCCCTAAGCGAACCGTGGAAAGGAGAGTTGATCGATCTCGAGAGGGTAGTGCAGCTAACGACACTGCCTGGCGGCGACAGGATCATCGTTCACCTCACGCTAGGGAGGTTACAGCAGTTACGGTTCGCGACCACAATAAAAGATACAGCCCTAGGTGCTATGGCTGTGGGGAAAGGGGCCATCTTCGGTCCAGCTACCCTGAGCACACCCTACGAAGGGAAGGTGAACGGTCTCAGAAAGGAAGTGCGGCTAACAGCACCGCCCAGCAGCAGCAGGAATACGACTTTACTATCAGACACTGCAGCGGGAAATCTCACGGCAACGCAGATGCATTGTCAAGAAGACCTTGTCCTGAAGATTGCAACCATTGTAGTAGGCAAGAGAGTAAGGAGGTGGTATCCGTGAGGATGCTCAGGACAGACCACCTCAGCAACGGGTGGAAGGACAACCTACGACATGCACAGCAGGAAGATCCGGACATCAAGCCGATTCTGGGATGGATGAAGGCCCGTGCTACCAAGCCTAAGTGGAGGGACGTCTCAGCGATGAGTTCAACCACGAAAAGCTATTGGGCCCAATGGGACAGCTTGCTGATTCAGGATGGTGTCCTGTGCCGTAAATGGGACAATGGTCGAAGAGACAGCTGTCGTTTGCAAATGGTTGTCCCTAAAGCTAAAGTGCCGAACGTTCTACAGTTGTGCCATAATGGTCGTTCAAGAGTCCATCTGGGAGTTAAACGAACTCTACTGAAGGTCCGAGAACAGTTTTACTGGGCCCATTATCGTGACGATGTCGAGGATTGGTGTCGTACATGTACAAGTTGTGCGGCCGAGCGGGGACCTCGGACACGTAGTAGAGGAGCACCAAAATTGTACAATGTTGGTGCACAACGGGATAGGACAGCCCTTGACATTGCGGAGCCATTACAGAAAGGCGCAAGAGGGACTCCTAAGATCGTCCATGTGAATCGCTTGGCGCGTTATTATGGGGCCGATAATGCTCGGGACGAGCATGTCTTAGGAGGGGGCAGTGTTACGCGCTCCAGTCAACGATACACTAGCGCCATCTAGTGTCAGGAACGAGAGCGAGGGGAGCATTAAGAAAATGACATCACAAATCGCTCAACTGACAGCGCCTAGTCGAAACTCGAACGCTCGATACCTTGCCCGTGTTTACTTGAACATTCTGGATATTTCTTTGCTGATTCAAATATATAGGCGCTGCAAGATGCGATCGAGCAGTAGTGTTGATTTGGCGAAACAAGCGAAGCTTCGGAGTGGAATTAAGTGAATTAGTGTCTTTAAATTATTAGTGTTTTAACTTTAATTGTGTAAAGTAAATTAAAGTGTTAATTTAGGTAATTTTATCGGCAATTTTTATTGTCACGAACCTCAAGCTCGTAACAATACCAAAATTATCAGACTTTTTTTAAAACTGTATTCTACCTGAAATAATATTGAGACGTGTTCAAAAAATGCTAAATGTATAGATTTGAATGGTATGTATACTATGCCTTTACTTTTTTATTCACTTCACAAATGACATCAATATGTTTCCACTGCTGGGACACAGGCCTCTTCTACGTGAGATAAATTATGTTATATTTAGATATTGAAATGAGGGTTTTCTGAAATGTTCCCCGTGAGATGGCAGCGCTGTAGTGTCAGGTCCAACTACCTGTCAAAACACTTACACGATTTATATTTTTCGATCATTTTTTTTGGTTTATTTATCCTTAAAAACGTTACAAACAGAATATTGTTTTCCAAAATGCCACAGTGTTGTGCAGTGCCTATGTGTGCAAATAAAAAAGGAGGGCATAAGTTCCCTACAGAAGATAAAAACCGATTAAAACAGTGGCTTGTAGCCATTCGCAGAGATAAATTTACTCCAACGAAAAATAGCCTCGTTTGCAAAAGCCACTTCACAAAGGATGATTACCAGCTACCGAAGGACTCAGTATTAGAAAAACGTAAGAATATTTTGTACTTATTTATAATGATAAGCTTCAGTTAAGTCACCTTGATTATATCTGTGCGCGACTAACCTTCAATGATGTAGTGTAAACGTTTTTTTAGTACTTGCCTTATCAAAAATGATTTCATTATGACATTATATTTATTGAATTATTATTCCAGCCAGGCCTGTGTTGAAAAAATGTGCAGTGCCAAGTCGATTCCCATGGATTGACCAAAATTCTAGTTTGCATCAAAAAAAGAAGGAGCGGCATCAAAGGCGTTTGGCGCGAAATGAAAGGAAAATTAGTGTCCAAGTACACATAAACAATGAAAAAGAGAAGGATGACACCTTCCTCATGGAAACTACAAACTTTTTCGAAGTAGAAATTGAATTCGAGAAGAAACAGAATGATGTTGGTATCCAATGTGATTTATGTGGAAGTGATAATCTCAAAACACTTAAAGAATGTCTTCAAAATGAAAATAAAAATAAAAAATCTTCAATTGCAAATGTGCTAGATATAACCAATGCGGCCGAAGTACAGTTTTATACTGGTTTCCAAGATTATGAACATATCAAATTCATATTTAGTATTTTTGGAGATGAAGTAAATTGTTTAAAATATTATCCTCAACTGAAAACATTGAAGGTGCCGTTTCTAAACCCTTGTGATCAATTCCTTCTAGTGTTAATTAAATTACGTCGGAACATGCTATTTACAGAACTCGCCTTTCGATCGAAGATTAATAAAACGGTACTAAGTAACATTTTCATAACATGGATCAATTACTTATATTGTAAATTGAAAGAGTTAAATGTTTGGGTGCCAAAACAATGCATAGATAAAAATATGAAATACTATGGCAAGATTAATCCATGCACTGTGATAGTAGATTGCACGGAAATAAAAATAGAGAAGCCCAAAAATCCACTTACACAACAGCTTACATATTCCACTTACAAATCAGCAAATACTCTAAAAGTTTTAATTGGGATTTCAGCATCAGGCTGCGTTACATTTGTATCCGATGCATATGGTGGATCTACGAGTGATCGTGAATTGTTTGAAAAATGTGGACTTATTGATAAACTTGAACCTAATGATATCATTTTTAGTGACCGTGGCTTTAATGTACAAGACCTAGTGTGCCATAAAGATGTTACAGTTAATGTGCCAGAATTTTTAAAAATACTGATGGACAATTTGAGACTTCTCAACTGACAAGGTCAAAAAATATATCTTCAGAACGGATACACGTTGAAAGGGTCATTGGTTTGGCTAAAACTTTTAAGATCTTAAGCGGCAAGTTGGATTCAAAATTGGTGCCTTTAGCAGATAGAATAATATTTGTATGTTTTATGTTAACCAATTTCAAAAATAATATTATAAAGTAAAATATGTTTTTTTCAATTTTATTTAATTGATGTCGCTTTTAACAGTACTGTATTAAACATACTTTATTAAATAATAACAAGAATACAAAATTAAACTTTGTTCTAATTTCTATCACATAGAATCTTACAATATACTATAAAAATATATTAACAATCATACATATTTTTTGCTATCTTTGGCAACATAAATTGAAAAAAGAAAGCTTTTACTCGAGGGATTATAATATTTTGTATAAATGAATCATTTTTTTTAACATTTATTATTTTTTCATCAACATTAGTCCATATAAATAAATCACAACAATCTCTTCCTGTGACAAGTAACTGCGTTTGGATTTGGTAATAATAGTTGCTTGTTTCTTTCAGTTGCAAATCATGCTCTAAATGGAAATAATTGTTGGATCCAATCATTTCATCCTTTATGGAATATGGACATTTAACTTCTAAAATTTTGTTATCTCCAATTAATCCATCAGGAGAAGCGCCAATGAAAGGGTACTGCACAGAAACATATAAACCACAGCGTTCTACTTTTTTTCCAGTTTTCCCCTCATATGCTTCAATTGCTGTGGTTTCCATAGACTTGCCCCATTCTAAGGCCGTGCTTACTATTTTCTTATTACATATAAGGCTTTGTGCATACTTTTCTTGGTCCTTTTTAGCAGTAAATTTACAAATCTCACCGACTCTTGAAGCAGTCACTCGAAAAGATCGTTCTGTATGCCATAACTTTGTCTTCGTCTGATTTTTAGTTTTCTTTTCAATTTCCTTTGCTGAGTCAGGTGTAACCTGTTAGGGGCAAAGGATAAGGAAAGTATGAAAGTATAAACCTAAACAAACATCTACAATCCCTATGCAAGTGCAATTAATATTGATGATTACATAATATACTAAATAATAAAAAATATAGTAGCTACAACTTCTCATGATTCACCACCTCGCTTGCTACAGTACAGTCAATAAGATTGTACAAGTCGTAGCTACTATAATAAATAAATTCATCTGGAATAAATGGCTTACAGATATTTTATTAAGAATAAGTTGATGATGTAAAGGAAAAGGTAGGTAATCATGGTCATGTATCACATCTTGCATGTTTGCACTGTCCAAAATTCCACATAATCCTATTCTTTTTTGTGACAATGAGCAGTAGTTAATGACTTTATTTCTAACTGTTGTAGCCCATTCTTTTCCCTGACTGATAAAGGACTGTGGTCTTGGATCATAGCACACACTTCTTTTCTTTTTTTTTGCAAACATTATATTCTGCTATTTCATATGAAAGGTTCTCTGCTTTTTTCGGCGAAACATCAAGTTTATTTTTTTTAGGTACATGCCATACTTGTTTTTTTTGTGTTGGAGTCATTTTAATTAACCATATATTCTGCTCTCGGAATTTGAGTATAGCATAGCACAAAACTGACACATGCTTGCAAATGGCTTTTGGTCCTTTCCCTGCTACACATTCACACACCGATTGTATAATAGATCCACTTCCATTACATATGGCAATGGAAGCAAAATAAGTGAGGGCTTTTGTATTTTCAGAATGGACTTGACCTTTGAAAAATATATGTGTACTAGTATTTGCGGTCACTAATGCGAGTAGGTAGTTATTTTGCAGCATATTATAACCTCTTCTGTGCACTGCAGAATAATCTGACATTCCTATGCCGTCTTTATACAATTCAAGGAAATACGTATTTATGTTAATAATGTCAAAATTGGGTAAAACTGTTTTTGAATCTACACTTTTGTATAACTTTTCTTCTGGCCATTCTATTACATAATTAATCTCACTTAAGAGATGAGAATTATCATTTTCATTTGATTTGAAGTTGTTGTTTCTGTCATAGTCATTTAGCCTGGAATATATAATATACATTAATCAACAACAACTCACTAAAACACAAATAACTTCAATTTAGTAGTTAAAAAAAAACAATCAAATTGTGGAAACAAATAGAAGTAGATTATGTTTACCTTTCAATGAGCTTTTCTTTAGTACCAGTGACTTTTGCGCCTCTCTTTTTGAGCTCAATTTTCAGTTCGGCAACCTTTCTTTGGCCGTAATCCATAATAAAATCAATAACTCTTCCAAATACATAAAATTTCACTAAAAAAAATAATACGTTCGGTAGGAATCTGTGCTATCTGACAGCTGTTTGGACCTGACGCATACGAAGCACCGCCTGGCGGCAAAAAAAGTATCGGAAACCCTGATTGATAAAATAAAATTATATTGTTATTCCAGTGAAAAATCCTCCTGCAACATCAACATTAGTTGGAAGTTCAAGCAATAGCAGTAAATTTTTATTTTAGAGCAGCTTTGGAGATTGAAGGTAATACAATTTTGAAGTGAACGGTTTGCCATTGAATATTCGTCAAAAAGTAACAAATATACCAACTAAGTAAGTTTTCTTCGCAGCAGCAGTGGTTTCAAAACAAGAAGTTTCAAGGTAGAGGGTGAAATCAACAAGTCAAATGATTTTTGTTCTAATTGTATTTTGGTAGTAGTTTGTTTAGAATTTTAACATTATCGTTGTATATTTCTTTTTATTTTGTATTTACTATAAAATCAAAAGGTGAAATAATACTTCATTAGGCATACATACCACATAATTATTAAGAGCAGATTATTGAATTGAGCAGGTGGTTATAACCTGACCATGTGCTCAATTCAATAAGCTCTCTTTATATATTTTTTTCTAAAAGCTTTTGTTGAGTGCTTTGAAGTTAGGAAATATTATTTTCACCTTCCTGGTTATTATCACAAAATAAATCGTGTTATAGATTTGTTGTTATCTCTTGTTTATGAATTATAGTTTCTTACGAGTTGGTTATTAAAAGTCTAATTATTGTAATAGCTGGTACTGTTACAAATCATCAGTGTTATTAGTTTGAGTGAATAGGCATGTTTTGATAAAAAATTCAATAGTGTAATGTAATAAAACTTCGTTATATTGTAATCAATGTTGACATAATTTATTTCCCAAAGTTATAAATCAATTAAATAGTTTACGCCAACAAATATAACTTTTATTTTTATAACAAACGTACATAGCGTTTTGTAGTTCTGCCTACCCAATCTACACATACACAAAAATTAAAAACTTGTTTTTTTACATACACGCCATTTAGTGTTCTAGCTTCGTAAACGTAGAGATACGTCTGTGTGTGTAAACGACACTATATTCAATGACAGATGTTATAATCAAAATTTGTGTCGAATTGGGTGGATTTTGAGGCAATGATATGACCCATTCCAATAAAATGTAATATCCGATAACGGCAAAGTCTACTCCTACGGCTTAATAATTTTCCAATTACACAAAAAACCAAATAAACTAAAAATGTTGACTTCAGCGACATCTTGCAGGAGAATGGCTGGGAGCAGTCCGTAGGTTTCACCTTAAGGGTACTCCTAATTAGGCCAGTTTTAAATAAATCGATAATTTGGTCGATAAATTTTCGCCTAGGGCGTCCCTTTCCGACTCTGCCATTCACTTTTGCAACATAAATTTTCTTTGTCACTCTTTCCTCATTCATTCTTTCCACATGACCACCACCGAAGCATTCCTTTCTTAATCCTGGTCACAACATCATCTTGCAAACCACACTCTTCATGTATTAAAAAACAAACAAGATCAAATCTAATGAAAATCAAAACTATGAATAAAGCCAAAAAAAGGAAAAGGCAAGGATAAAAAGACAAAGTCAAAATCTAAGGAGGTACAAATGTCTAGCTCGGAGGAAGAAAATGAACCTTTGTACGACGACAGTTCTAACGTAAGTCCTGATAGCAGCAATGTTTCTGATGCAAAGTGTCTGTATTGTGAAGGTCTTTATTCGATGGATAACAGAGGCGAACCATGGATTCAATACCTATGTTGTAAATTATGGGCTCACGAAGAATACTCAGGAGGAAACTGATGTTTTCTTCTGCAAATTCTGTTCTGCAAATTAATGCAAAGTTTATTTGGTTTTTGTTTTTTTGTGTGGCTTGGACAATTGGCTCACTTTATGTGCATATGGTTCATATTGACCTACCATGTTTGAATTTTAATGATTCCTTAAGTTACAAAAAAACGTTTATTATAATTATGTTTCGATGTTATTAATCTTAAAATTATAATTGTTGATTACTGTTAAGTTCAAAGAACTATTTTAACCAGTAAAGACTATTTGACCTCATAAATCTCGTAATTTATTTCCAAAAAAGCTTATGATGTTCCATATTATCCGAAGTTACTCTATTGTTTTTAAAGCATAAATTCGAGTGTACATAATATTATTATATTATTTAGAATTTTCAATTTATTTTTAGTTCTAACAGATCTGCCAGAATAAATGTAGTGGAATGAGAAACTTTTAAATACAATTTGTGATGTAAATAAATGATAAAGACACTGTAAATACCAAACATTTTAATTGAACTATTAGAATTTAGTGTAGTGTAGATAGTAGTGTTGTAAATAAATAGGAAAACTTGTGGACTATATTGTGTCGTGTTATGTGTAAAAAACACATTGTTTATAATATAAAAAATGTCTCGAATCGATGTAAGCGTCATCTAGGACAATTTTTAAAAAACTAATGACGCCGATAAAAAGGCAGAATGTCGAGTATGTAGTGACCTGTACAGTTACAAGAGATCCACGGGAAATTTAACAGCCCACTTGAAGAAGAGGCACTTGGGTCGTAATTGTTCAGCACCAATCTGCACCCCAAGCGGTTCCTACTGAACTGCCTCTCTCGGTGATAGCAACATCTACCACTACAGCAGCAGCGATCTGTACCACAGGAGAACCGTCCACTTCTACCTAACTCCAAAACTACAATATCGTCGACTTCTATTGTAAGGCACCAGATACAGAAACAACCATGAAGAGGTACGGGACTGCGAAGAAAATATCAGGTGAACTCAAACGTAAAATCGACGGCGATCTTTTGAATTTATTTATTGTGTAGCTCAGCAATTTTCTGTAGTGGGAAAAAAAATCTTTTAAAAAAATTGCTAGCTAGATCCCGGGATATCAGCTTCCAAGTCGAAAAATTACATCTCACACTATGATACCGAATCTCTACAATGACACAAAGGAAAAAATAAAAAATGAGTTAATGTCCTCAAATGTAGAAAACATTTGCTTGACGGCTGATTTGTGGACATCCATAATAAATGACTCGTACTTGGCGGTTACGGGTCATAATTTAACTGAGGACATTGTCTTCAAAACAGTGTTGCTTGATTGTTGCCATTTCGAAAATGCGCACAATACTGAAAACATTTAGCGTGCTTTGCAAGAGTTGACCGAAGAGTGGTCAATAAAAGATAAAGTTAATTTTAAAAATTGTAGCCAATGTTCAAAAAGCTGTGGTGAACTTGAAATGGAGACACTAAGGGTGTTATGTGCATACGTTCAACTTAATCGTTCAAGATACCACGCGATCAGCGGCTTGCGCACAATCACTTGACAAGTTATAAAAAATAGTTCGGTTTTTCAAGACCGCATGCACTACAGCGCTGGAGAAACTTTTAAAGGCAATGCGTTTGGTACAAGAAGTCCCCACACGCTGGAATTCCACGTTCTATATGTTACGTTTTGTGGTATTGCAAAAGAATATATAAGAGCTATAGTAGCGGTCTAATGAGGAATGGATATTTCTCACTGAGCTGTGCAAAATTTTGAAGCCTTTTTATGAGGCAACTCAATAAGCGCTGAAAATAATTTGACAGCTGGATCAGTTATTGTTCTAAGCCGTTGTTTAGTCACGGCGTGTGACAAATTGTTAGCTAAAGATTTTGGAACTTTCACAGTCGTGCATTTTCCGTTTGGGCACGGGGCACATAACAAGGTTTTCGAACATTGAAAAAAAATGGTACATTTTCTGTGTACTGTTTTAGATCCACACTATAAACTAGGCGTATTCACAGATAACACGAACAGCCCGCAAATCAGTGTTAGATCTCTTGACTAATCTTATTGAAATGTGTGAAAAATATAGTCGGAACGTGCCTTTTGAAGTCGAGATACAGGGCGACAAATTTTCTTCTTGGAATATTCTCAACGAACTGGTTGGCCAGAAATATAATGTAAGTACTCCATTGTCGAAGGCTACAAAAGAACTGGATACCTACTTAACTGACGACATACTACTGGCATTTTCAAGATATAGAAAATTTAACTGCCCATTAAATTGGTGGCGAACGCATCGCTTCACATACGCCTACCTAACTAAGCTGCTTCGAAGTTATGGAAATATTATGGTGTCAGCAGTTCCTTGCGATCGTATCTTTAGTAAAACAGGGTTAATAATAAACAATCGCCGTACAAGTCTCTCGACTAACAAAATTAGGCAACTTTCGTTCTTGAACGTAAATCTAGATCCGGAGCGGTTTAGATATTTGATTAAAATAAATACATAAATAATAATAATAACTCGTGAATTTATTATTAAAATGAAAATTCTTCCCTAGTCCTTCTTTTAAAATAAAAGTAGTCTATGTTACTCCTTATCCCATCCTATTACTCCTTATAACATCAGCTACTCCTTATATCTCCTTCTAACCTGGTTTGCTCGCGTACTGTGAAATTTACAGCGAGCGCTAACCATCTGAGCTACCACGGCTCTTATATACTATTTTCTGGATGCCAGAAAAACTAGTTTCCATCATGAGTTACCAACGAGACAATGACCGCAGGATCGACTGCCGTCAACCCACCCAACATCCTTTCAGCAATTGGCATGGGCCTGCTCCAGAATTTGGAGATCAGGCATCCCAGCAATCGACTAGATCTAGAGACGATACCGGCCCCCGAGCCAGAAGAAGCGCGAAATGAAAAGGCAGAATGCATTTCGAGAGAACCACCCAAAAACGAAACAAGCCGAAAAAGAAATTCAGGATAAAATTAATAAAGCATTGTTTTTTCTGATTAGGCGATGCTCTAACTGCTGAAAAAGCGGTAGATTTTTCCTTGCAGAAAACAGCAGCAGTTGTAACCGTTACCACTCGGGCGGTGGGGTTCTATGTTCAATGGTTGTTCAAAAAGATTTATGAGCTGTATGGATGCTAGCTTGACCGCATACCCGAATGTTAGCCGTATGCTTTCTATCGTGTCACTTTGGCACAGCTCGAATATCGCCTGCTTTGTGGAAAGTCGGCCCAGGTCAATACTTTGGGCATCGATGCTGGTGCGTTTTATCGCCCACGACTGACGATCGAGGAAAGAGACGTCATCAAATCGAATCATCATCGTCGAACAATCATCGAATTTGGTCGCTGGTGTTGGGAGTTTTGAATTTTAAAATGAGGCCTAATACGCGAAGTGTCCTAACGATCGATTTAATGACAAATTTATAATTCGACATACATTAAACAGGTGTATAAAGTAAGAATAGGTAAACATACACTTCATAACGTCTGTGGGACGTAGCGTCAGTGTTAGTGTAAGTTTAAATTTTTTGTTTTTATTTTTTTTAAGAGTTAAAATGGCTACTACTAAACACTGTTTGGATGTTGAATACCCGACTTCAACTAAACAGCCTCGAACCAACGTAAACAGTCAACATTTTGAGAGATTTGTTATGGAAAACGTTATTTTTTCGGAGTCTGATGATTCTTCAGCTGATGAAAATGACATCCTACCACCAGAGGCAGAAGAAGCTGAAGTAGACTCTTCATCGGATAGTGACGAGAATATTTCCTTAGTGGAACTCCTGAGTGATGTACGAATAGAAAAAAACCGTCCTTGAGCCAGAAACTGAAGGACCTATGAACATCACAGGAATTCAAAAGAAAATATTATTATGGGAAACGAAGATGTACCAGTAAGTTTATTCAGTTTGTTCTTAGTGAAAACATAAAGCTCAAAATTATACTCCACATAAACAAAAGACTCGAGCTATTGAGGCAGAAATATAAAACGATAAACAAACCAGAATTGAAAGATATAGATGAGATTGGTTTGTTAGTATACAGTGCGGCTTTCAAATCGAATGACGAAGATATGAATGCCTTATTTGCAACTAATAGTGCTGGTAGAGACATTTTTAGAGCAGTAGTAATATCCCAGGAAAGACTTCAAATGATTTTGATCGCTCTTCGGTTTGATGATTTTTCTACTAGAGAAGAAAGGAAATTGCCTAATGTGGCTGCTGCTGTATCCGAAATATTTGAGAAATTTGTTTCCAACTGTCAAAAATATTACAGGCTGGGTGACAACACAACAATTGACGAAATGCTCGTACCTTTTAGAGGGAGATGTCAGTGAAAGAAGTATATGCCAAACAAACCGTGTAAATACGGTTTAGAAATAAAGTGTTTGACTGACGGAATAACAGGATATTTGTATAATGCTTACTTATATACTGGAAAGAAAATTGCTGGCTTGGTTCTCTTGCAAAATGCAAAGAAATTGCTTTTACCGTCTCAATGTGTTCTACGTTTATCAAAGCCGATCCAGAATACCAATCGTAACATCATTGCGGATAACTATTTCTCGTCTATTGAGGTTTGTGATGAACTGAAAAAGGTCGAGCTGACTTACGTCGGTACTGTAAAAAAAGAGAAATCCCTCCGAAGTTTCTTTAAAAGAATCGCACCGTCAAATCAACCATGTACGGATTTACTAAGGATATAACTTTACTACCGTATGTACCTAAAATAAATAAAACAGTAATGGTGTCTACTATGCATCATGATCAAGCAATGGATACTCAAAAAGAAATTCCGGAGATAATTTCATTTTACAATTCCTCCCTCAAAAGGCGGCGCAGATTCAATAGATGAAAAATGCGCTAAATATTCTTGCTCCAGGCGCACCAAACGTTAGCCATTGGTAGTATCTTATAGAATAGTAGATGTTGCTGCAGTAAATGCTTTCATTCTGTCAAACTACAGAAAAGAAGACCGATCGATTTTCATGAAAAACGTAGGTAAAAGTTTAGGGTTGGATTTAGAATCGTTTGGCAGGAATTTGGGGGAATAAGGTGTTTTGTTTGGTAAAGGCTTGGTCCTCGATTATAATTATACCACTCACATTAAAAGGTAAAAAAAATGCATCGTTATCGAAAAAATAAATAAAAACTATTATAACCTAAAATGCGTAAAGTATGGAAAATGATAAATTTTTTATTATTAAACCGACTTTACGGCTCTAGGTTCTAGCCTTTCTGAGAAAAAATTATACGATATTACTGTGAAAGCTGGATAGCGATAGCAAAAAAAAATATGCATTCCGCCATTTCCGCCCTTTGTTTGCTTTTCTTGCGTGAATGTGTGCTCTCCAGTGTATTATTGTAGCTTTTATCGACGACTGTTTTCTCTTTTTTGGATACCGATTGCTTGCCTACCAAACGAATTATCTACTTTTCTATCCCGGACACCGATTTTCTGCCTACTCGATTAACCTGTGCGCGCATTTGGACTTCGATTGCTTGCTTACACGACTTACCTGCTTTTCTACACCGGACGCTACGCATGTTACATTGAAAATGTCTGATTCGGAAAAACCTCAACCATCTACGAGTCGCGGTTTTGACAGTGACGAACCGCCAGTGAAACGCCATTTATATGTAGAGGAGATGAAAGCAATGTGGAATTTAGTCACTGTGTAGCGAAAACTTGGCACACGGGAACAAGCTATTGCTTTTGCTGAGGAAAAAGGTATGATCCCAGCAACAAAAATATGTAGCTACCATAAAAAGAGTATGTGTGTAGAATACTCCACCAATAGAACGGTGGGCTCATTTGTCTGCAACCGAGACCCGTGCAAATCTAAATCAAAAGTTAGTCGTGGCAAAGGCACATGGTTTGAGAATGTCAAATTAAAATGCCTCAAGTATTTTACTTAATGTATGCATATGCACATAAGTGGAGTTATGATATGACTTTAAAAGAAGATTATTCTGAAAGGGAAAATTGTTTATCTAGAGCAACTGTTAATGATTGGTTTAAATACTGTCGGGAGTAGTCATTTGTGAAATAGAGAAACAAGTTTCCTGGGAAAAAATTGGCGGTCTAGGAAAAATTGTCCAAATAGATGAAAGTAAATTTGGAAAAAGGAAATATAATAAAGGTTAGTTATGGCTAGATGCATGCATATAGTTAACGACCTGGAGATGAAATAGGCTAATTTTTATCAATAAAATTTTTAATTAATACTTAATCTTGTTTTAGGTCGGCACATTGAAGGTCATTGGGTGCTGGGAATGATTGAAAATGATAGTGACGATTTAAGATTAGAAGTTTGCCCCCAAAATGTGCGATCTTCTGAAGTTTTGATGTCCTTGATTCAAAAACATGTGGCTGAAGGCACCATCATCCATACTGATTTTTGGCGGGCTTATGATGGATTAGAAAATTATGGGTACATACACAAAAATGTTAATCATAGTGACCCTGAAAACCCTTTTGTGGCAGCAGACGGCACCCACACTCAAAGAATTGAGTCTCAATGTCGTATCGTCAAAAGATATTTCGGTAAAAATAACTATAATAATAGAGAAAATTTTACCGACTTAATATATGAATATTTATGGAGAAGAGAAATTGTAAAAAATAAAAGAGATCCTTTTGAGGAATTAATAAAAACAATAAATTATGTTTACAAACAATAAAGAAATGATTATAATATATTGTGTTTTATTTCTAAATTGTTTAAAACTGTCTGGGCAGTTAATTAATTTAATACTTGAACACCCAATAATACTTTCAGTTGTAATAGGTTAGATGGTTGTGGCGGGAGCAAAAGCAACCTAACTTTATAGATGTCTGATCTGTACTAAAATTAAATCAGCACGCCTCGAATCCACGTAGTCTTGTCTGCCCTACCCCTAGTGTGTTTGTAAAGCCGTAGGCACGGAAGTAGAGCAGCCCCCGCCCGTCGCAGCAAATCGCAGGCACCTGTGCGAGCCGTAGTGTGCTTATTATTATATTATATATTATGTTTATAATTAAAAGTAATTATAAAAGCTAATATTTTGGTGTTATGTTGAGTGCAAGAGAGAGCGAAGCGAGCTCGGGACTTAGGGCACCCCGACTCGGACAGGTTAGGTTAGAAGGGGATGGCGGGGTCGTGTGAGCGAGCGAATAGACCCCGCCATCCACTTCGTGGTTATTTTTTTGTAAACCACTCAGAAGTAGGAGCCCCGCGAAGCAGGGAAGGTAACGATAAATAATAAAACGAGTATGATACTATAAGTAATTTCCCTTTAGACTTTTTAAAAAAAGGCGTAGTCCACATAGGGGTATCTGGCCTCACAAGCTGGCCATAAGTCGATTTTCCCAAAACAAGTAATTCGAGCAACTGACACTCATTTACGATAATATAATAACCGGGGGATTTGAGGGTGGCAATACTTTTTTTAAATCATTTGAGCACTACACGATCGATCAGTATCTGACAAGTCTCGAGAGGGTTTGCACGTGTTACTTTTTCATCGCTTTGTTTATGTTAATGAAAAATAATTTAGAATGGTTTTTTTCGTGAAGTTTGTTTGTGTTTACTGTGGATTGCGATCAGCCAGGTATGTAATTCGTTTTTCCCACTCTTTATCCTTTTTTTTTCAAGGAAGCCTCCTAAAAGGTATATTTTTTCCACTTAAACATAAATGTGAAGGTTTTTGTTATAGTGCAGGGTGTTTCTCTGTATCAGAATTGGTATATTTTGAAAGAATAATTTCTATATTTACGATGTATTCCAAGAACAACCATAGAATACCGCCGATTTATTTTTTAAGAGGATTTTTCTGATATAAGCCATTAATCGTCCTAATTGTAGACATGTTATATATATATATATATATATATATATATATATATATATATACATACTATATATATATATATATATATATATATATATATATATATATATATATATTTGTTCCTACTTTGTTTCGGGGACCTCAGGACTTAAAATCCTAACAAGAAGACATTTTTACAACCTTATGAAGAAGAGTCCTGTGAAGGATTTCCTAAGCAAGCTCAATTTTATTGAAAACGATATATTGGGAAAGCAGTGATTTCCCAAAGAAGACAAAAAGGACTTTAAACGAAAGTTCTCTTATATAAAGTCCGAAATGAAAAAGAGGTGGCTTGCTGCACATAAAGTTGAGTGTTTTTTTTAAAAAACTGTGATTGGCTCCAAGGCACTATCGAAGTACCCACTTAAAAAAAACCAGTTGGTCGACCTTCCAAATCCTTCGATGAGTCAAGCGATCGCAGGAAGCGACACCATTAACACCATTAAAAGCCTTGTCAATTTTTGTGGAGGCTAATTTGTCAAGGAAACAGTATGATATTATACGAACAAGTGACAAAAAACTTTTTCCCTGTTATAGCATCATTCAAAAGACTAAAAAGCTACCCTGCTCCAGCATCGTGTCAGGTGACTGCAACTAGTGCCGAAATTCAGCTTCAAGCTTTATTGGACTATACAAGTAAGCGGTTAATAATATATTTGGAGGATGTTTTAAATGTTTTGGCTGCTAATGATATTAATTCTCTCAAACTAATATATAAATGGGGGTGTGATGATTCGTAGCAATCAGAATACAAACAAAAATTTAAGAATGGCTGTGATTCTGATGCTAATATATTTCAATCATTAGTGCCTATTCGACTTATAACGCGTCTCTGTTTTTTTATTGGAGTTAGGGGCCCCTCTCCAGGGGGGACGCGCTGTTTTTTTGCCTTTTTAAAAAAAAAAAAGTCGCAAAAATAAAAACATTGTACTTTGGCAAAATTCTATACCCTCTTCACCTCGATATTGCCGGCCAATCCGGATAAGATTTATAAATAAATCCAAATTGAAAGATTACAAGACACAAACATTTTAAGAGCTCAAGGCGATTTGTCAATAAAACACACATTTATTCTTACTATGGTGGATGGGAAGCTCTGCAATGCAGCCACACAAACAGCATCAACTCTGAGATGTTATATTTGTAAAGCGACCAGTAAGGATTTTAACGTACTTTAGAAATAAAAAAAGAAGATGCAGAAACGCTCCAGTTTGGCCTGTCAATATTACATGCGAGAATTCGATTCTTTGAATTTTTGTTACATTTGTCATATAAAATACCTTTTAAAACATGGCAAATACGTTCACATGAGGACAAAAGGGCCTTTAAAGAAAAAAATTAACAACAGAATTTCAGAGAAGAATTAGGACTAATTGTTGACGTCCCTAAGGCAGGTTTTGGTACGACAAATAACGACAATACAAGTTGGAGATTTTTCGCGAATTCAGAAGCATCAGCAGAAATAACTAGCTTGGATTAAATCTCATCAACAGACTCAGAGTTATTCTTGAAGTTATTTCTTGTGGTCATAAGTTACACATTGAAAAATTTGCCAATTATACTTCCGAAACCGCTAAATCTAGATCTTTATCCGAGGCACCCAATGTTTCCCACCGTGCATAAGATTTTACTACCTGGACCAACTGTCATAAAACATGCTTTATTACCAATCAGTAATTTATCGGAAGAAGCAGCTGAATCGCGAAACAAACACTTTAGATTGTATCGCCGGAATTTTGCAAGAAAGTTTTCTAGAGAACAGTGCACTCGGGATGTTATTCAATCCAATTTAAACAGTGTGAACTGTAATAGTGTTCATTAGATATTTAAGTGGTTAAATAGTGTAAATATTAATATGCTCTGTAATGGCATGGGTCTGTAAAAACTGTAGTGTGATATGGCACCATTTTGAAAAAAGACAATAAAACGTTTAAAGCAATGTGTATTTAATGTAAAGATGTATTAAGTTATAAGTCATGCATCGCCAATTTAAAAAGTACATCTGCGAAGAAAACATCCTTCGGTTTATTTATCGGTGTTCAGAGCTGATGATGACCAATCCGGTCATTGATCTGGACAAACGAATCAGGGACAAATTCGCAGTGCACGCGGAACCCATTCCAGGTACGTCGAGTTCTTCGGTGGGAGAACAACCGTCATTTGAGCCACTCCGGCCATCAGCTGAACGACAAAAATTTATGGACGCATTTAATACTAAAAAAAATAGTACAGATCAAAAACTACAATTCAACAAGGATTTACTTGATTTATGTATCGATTCATTTCATCCATTTTCAATTATGGAGGAACGTGCCTTTAAAAATTTGTAGATGGATTCCCGGCTATAAATTGCCAACTAGGAAAACCGGGGTTATCCGGGTTATTATTACAGAAAACCTATAATAAAGTAGATGTCGAAATAAAGGCTGCTGTATTTCAAGAAGTACAAACAATTTGCATAACTACTAACCTTTGGACGTCAAGAGTGACGGAGAGTTATATTGCCGTCACGGGACATTACATAACCAATGAGTTAGAATTTAAAACTGTATAGCCTCAAATATCGCATCCGAGATTGAGGAAATTCTGAAGAGGTGGAATATTAGAGGTAAAGTTAATTTTGCGGTAACCGATAACGCCGCAAATATGGTAAAAGCCATTAGGGAACATCTAGGAATCAGGCATTTCGGTTGCTTTGCGCATACGCTTGATTTGTTGGTGGATGACGCACTCAAATTACAAGAATCTTTAAAAAAATGTATCCCATTACAAAAGAAGTACGTTGTCCTCGGAGAGACCTGCAAAATATCAAGTTCAACAGAATCAACAACCTAAGCGTCTTATTCAACAAGTAGAAACACGATGGAATTCAGTTTTCTATATGCTTGTCGAATTGCAAGAAGCAGTGCGGCCAACGTTAGCACTTGAAGACACAGATTTGCCTCACCTCTCAAATGAAGACTAGATTAGTTGTGCCCAGCTATGTCAAGTTTTACGCCCATTTGAAGAGTTAACGAGGGCAATGAGTGGGCAGCAGTATCTAACAGCTGGTTCAATTACTATTATGGTCCGATGCCTAAAAGAATCTTTAAAAAAATTATAGAGAACGCCGAATTCACGCAACCAGTTCATGACCTCGCTTTGTCACTGATGGCGGGGCTGAACGATAGATTTCGAGCAGTGGAACAGAGTGGTTCTCTCGCGCTGAACACATTCTTAAACCCACGTTTCAAAATGCAGGCATTTTCAGATGCAAAAAAGGCTACAAAACTAAGGAAAAGGTACGGAAACTCGAAGCTGCAATTATTTCTGAAAATGACAGAACAACGGTATGTTCGACAGCCATAACAGAAGATGAACCTAAATAAGATGGGGCAGTGATACTTGAGGCTGTGTGGCTAACAAAAAATGATAGCAACCCAACAATAAAGTTTTAAATTATAACTCATTGGTTATTATGTAATGTCCCGTGACGGCAATATAACTCTCCGTCACTCTTGACGTCCAAAGGTTAGTAGTTATGCAAATTGTTTGTACTTCTTGAAATACAGGAGCCTTTATTTCGGCATCTACTTTATTATAGGTTTCCTGTAATAATGACCCGGATAACTCCGGTTTTCCTAGTTGGCAATTTATAGCCGGGAATCCATCTACAACTTTTTAAAGACACGTTCCTTTTAAAATGAAGCAAACGATGATGTGCCAGTCCGCAGCCATCTATGTCGCATCAGCAAATAGCAATAACATTAGCCCTTCGATTTTACATACCTCCATCGATCTTTTCTCATAGCCCTTTTAAACACACGACAGGCAGGTAATATGTGCATCGATTTTTTACAATAATTGCATAACTTAGTGCTGGTTGTATCCGAGGCTATAGTTAGGACAGGTCGGTTGTAATTATTGAAGCGAGATCTATCATCAAACTTTCTGCCAGGTGGTATGGGTTCGGTTTTTTTATAGTCTTGCTTACCCTATGATGATGAACGATTAGATATGAGCGCCGCGTCGGCGCACCGCCGCCGCCGTGATTCCCCCCGCGCCGCCGCCGCCGACTCCTGGCGCCGGCGCGTCGACCCGACCGCCGATTCCGAGCGGTGGCATTCAGTTTAACCTAACACGCTGACTAAACCGAACGCACGTCTGCCTTAATACTGACAAAATGGCGGCACTAGACGTAGACGTTTATAAAACGACTCTATGACATTACAATTTCTGTATTGTCCAAGTTATCAGCAAACAAACACAGTTTTTGTTGGACTTATTTTGGTCATTTGGTTATTGAGGGAAAAAAACGAACAGTGTTGGGCGAGCAAGTGTTTTGTGACGCTTGTTTGAAACAAGCAAAAGAAAAAGATGGCAGTGTGCATTTTTCCAAGTAAGTTTATGTGCCTTCGTTTATTTTAAAATAATTAAATACCTACCTACTTATCTGTTGATAGCTTTTTTTACGTGGTTAGTAATTTAACAAGTATGAAGGTATAAATGTTTTAATAGGGTCTTATTTCTATTTAACATTGGTAATATAGGTAGGTATATTTGTTTCTTTTAACTATAAAATGTTAGTAGTTGAAATATTTTGTTGCTCTTTATTTCCGTGAGATTGGCATATTACGTTTTTATTGGGATTATGTTTTTCATTCTATCGAAGGTATTGTTGGAAGCTTGACAAATAAAATTCCTTTAATTTTGTTTCAGAGCACTCGTCAAAGCCTACAGTAAAAATATAGCCACCAGCAATTTACTGCGTCATTTAAAGGACGAACATAACTACGAAAAAAGTAGCCCCCATTAAGGATTTTTTTTCCGTACAGAGAAAATCAAAACCAGGCACAAAAAATGGTGTAACTGGTGGAAAAAAGACAAGTGGATGCTTGCGCGGGATCTCGCACTATGGTTTGCCAGATCACTATTGCCATTCGACAGCATAAATGATGAAGCCATGATTGATTTTTTAAAAAAATATAATATAATTGTAGCTGATGACGATCTACCCTCACGGCATAATATTGCTCGAGAGGAGCTAGAAGATGTATATAATAGTATGTTAACATATGTACAGAGTATTATTAAAAAACAAAATATAAAATTTGGTGCATTAACAACAGATTTATGGACAGACCAATTTAGACGTCAGAATTACATAACCTGCACTTTCCATTTTATTTCTCACGAGATGAAACTTTTGAAATTCACGCTAGCTACCCAACAAGTTATTGGAAAACATACAGGTGAAAAGATTAGAGAAGAAATTCAAGGTATTTTACGGACATTTCAGATTCCACAAAAAGATATTGTCCTTGTGACCGACTCTGGCAGTAATACGAAAAGAGTTGCTGATTTATTGAATAGTAGATGGTATTCAGAACACTGATGCGGTTCTTTGCCTTATTAATAAATGTAAGAAAATAGTCAAGTACTTGATGTATAGAGCTCCACAACTAGAAGCTGCTGCCAGCGAAAAACAACGTGATCTGCTCTCATCCTTTGAAGATATTGGTGTAAATATAAACCACTCGGATAACGAAGCTTCATCGAGTGATTTTGAACTAGATGAGGTTTCGACAAGATCTGACCCCAGCGCCCCTCCAACTATAAAGACGAGTACACCAACGAGATGGCACAGCATGCTTATGATGCTAACAAGCATCAGCCACAATGCAAATCGCCGACCCATTAGAGACATGTTGATTGATATAGGTCGTAGTGCTCTTTTACTAGATGAGAATGAGTACAATTTAATTACTAGCTTGACATCGTTCTTTGATAAATTTAAGAAGACAGTAGAATGCTTAAGCAATGAATCACAAACCACTATTAATTTAGCATTGATTTTTAAATCAGAAATTAGAAGGTTGCTAGAAGAATACAACGACGATGAACCTGTCATAGTCACTAGACTAAAAAACAACATGTTGCAACGTTTGGACCATTGCTTTCCTGTTACAGACGAGACGAGAGAGTTGTGGCGGCTACTTTATTGGATTGTAGGTTTCAATCAATTAAGGAAATCGACATTTACATGGAAAGTCAAGACACCTATAAGGTAGCATTTTTGTCAAATTTTTTAAAGAATATTTTGAAAGAGGAGGATGTTGTTGACCCAGTAAGAGATGCAACACCTGGACCAAGTTCCGCGCCTACGCCGTCAAACGCCGTTTTTGATGTATTTGGATGAAAAGCAAAGCAGTACATCCACTGATATTGACACCGTGGTTGAAAATGAATGCTGGAGGTATTTTAGCACAGCTTGTGTCGAAGATCTTCAGCCCTATGACGGTGATGTATTGATGTTCTGGAAAGACAGAAAGATTTCCTTTCCATGGTTGTCAACTTTGGCTCGAGCAATATTGTTTGTACCGGCGACAAGTACCCCAAGCGAAAGAGTTTTCTCTGTTGCAGGGCAGTTAATAACCGCTAAACGGTCTCGATTAAATCCCCTAAGGTTACTCCGAATAACATTTATCCATGATAACTATAGCCATTGCAAACGAGAAACCGACATTTGAATTAATTGCTATTTCACCTTTTAACTGACTGAACCTATGTTCTAATGATTTCGTTAAAGTTTTAAATAATGTTTATAATTTGAATTATAATTACAATTATTTTTAATATGAATGATTTCTATATGTTGTAATATTTATATGATAGTACCTTGAGTAAAAGATTAAAAGATACTGTTGATTGTTGTTGTTGATTATTTAATATTTCAACATTTAATAATGTAGGTAATTGAAGCGGGTTTTATGTTCCTAATTTCCTATTGATTCATAGCTATGTTACTGAATATAATACTTTTAATTTCATTTTTCTTTTATAATTTATCTTATCAATTCGTCATGTCAAAATTATAATAAATCTTTATACGTAAATTTTTGTTTAATTTTTCTCTTAAAGTAAGGTTATGAAGGTCACGCCGCCGACGCCGCCGCCGCCGACTTCTAAAAGTCGGCGCGCCGCAGCCAACAGATTGAACATCGGCGCTCATATCCAATCCTGATTACTAGACGACGTAACCATAATGTCCTTCAGTGTGTGAGCGAGTTGAAGGATACTGTCGACAGGCGTGTGGTGGGCCGGTGCACGGACTCCGTCAACATAAGGTGCCCGCGCTGCCTCCGATGTCGCCGTCGCTGCCTCCGACGTCGCTGACGTTGCCGCCTTATGTTGCAGTAAAGGTGACTGCTGCAAATTGGTGGTCTTCAGCTCCTGCTCCACTAAAGGCTGCTTCTTCATGCTTCTACTAACTTGACTCTCTTTGATTGACATTCTGACGCACGGCTGCCTTCCATCTTTGCTAAATCAAACTCAAGCCTTTTGTCAATAATAATCTAAAATAAATATCATGCGTACGTATCCGACGTATCCCTGCATGCACCGGTTCCTCATCATCGTATTTGCTCAGGCAAGCTCGCTGCTGTAACGATGACTGAGTTGCCTCAACAGACGCCAAGTGTTCAATGCCCGGAAGTATCTGGTTGCCACGAAATCGCATCGCACGCGGTACAAATCCGACTTGCGCAAATTCCTTGGCGTGGCGTGGGCACCCTGGACGTCATCGTGGCAGAAGCGATGGTGCAGCCTCCACTGTTGCAGGACTGCAATGGCTTGGTTGTTACGCGGGGGAAGGGAGTAGCAGCTGCGCAGCAGACGTTCCGCATGTTGCCACTGTATTATAAAAATGTTGGACCACATGACCATAACATAAGTTGCCCAATTCGAGCAAATATACCCTAGTGGGGTAAAAAGCCCCCGCGTCCATCCGATTTTCACTGTGCACTGGTATCATCTTGATTACCTACGTACAAAATATAATAACTGGTGATAGGTGACTGCACCGAGCGTCAAGGCAATAGTGAGAAGCGTTTCTTCACCACCAATGGATCTCGACATCCGCCTCCAAATCTGCCCGGCCCTTCTTACTCTGTAAAAATAAAAATATCTTAGTTATTTTTCTGATTGTATACATTGATAGTTCAATTTCTTTAATTAATTAAGACTAAACTTGAAAAATTTTCATTTATGTACTTATCTAATTTAAATTCCTTTTTTTTATCCATAAAAAGTATTTTAATCATACGGAAACATGTTAAATAAAATTTTACAAAAAAAAATTAAATTAGATAAGTACATAAATGAAAATTTTTCGTCGTCGCTTACAGTATGCTTCTTGCATAATTGATCTAGACAGCGTCTTCCTTATGGGTAGCTGGTATCCAAGTATCCAACGGCAGAATTTTAAAACGCTTCTCTCTTCCACTATCGAAAATGGATGGAAACTATCTGTGCACAAAACCTAGCAAATCTAAGTTAATCTGCTTTTTTTGTTCGCAATTTATTTTTTTATGTAAAAATAAGTCCAATTTTTTTGCCTTTTCTGGATAGACCCGCTCGAGCCAGGTAAGCTAGGATCCTTAAGATCTACATTATCCATATGTGATACAAGGAAAAGACGTGGCTGTTGCTGAGTCTCAGCATTTGATTGCGATGTCAACGATGTAAATATGGACGCACACGCTTTCTTTTTAGGTGGCTCTTTAGATTCGTAGATGTAGATTTATAAGCAAGTTTTTCCTTACATAAGTTGCAAATAACTTTCCCACTTAAATCTTCCTTTTCAAAGTAATGCCTTAAATCACTAGTGTTACGTTCCGCCATTTTAAATAACAGTAAAGTTTATTGTTGAATAATTCTACACTAAACTTCACTAAACTGTTATTCACAACACTATTACACACTATGTCTCTATTCTATACTGTTTACAATTAATTACTTACAATATCTAAACTCATTTAAATATGTACAAATTAAACTCATAAACATTCAAACGAGCTTTCCACTAAATTCGCATTCGCAAGTCACGCAGGACTCCGGCTACTGAAGACTCCGACGACTGTAGCTTCGACCTTGCGACGCGAGTCGACACACTAATTTCAAATTTCTAAACAACGGCAACGTATAGGTAAACAATAATAAACCCGTTTATCTTCCGTCCGTCAACATACTCTTTCGCGCAATATCAGAATGCTCTTGCCTTTTCACTCTAACAATTCTATTAAAAAAGAAATACTAAATCCTACGTCATATACTTAAGGTTCAAATTGGTTTGTTTAATGATACTGTTACGCGCCAAAGTCGACGGCACTAGCGCCATCTAGTCTCGAACCGAAGAACTAAACTTCTTGAAATTGAAACACGAACTCTCGGTACCTTGCGCGTGTTTACTTGAATATTCTGGATATTTCGCTGCTAATTTATATAAATAGGCGCTGCAAGATGCGATCGAGGAAGTATTGGATTCGGCGAGACAAGCGAAGCTTCGGAGCGGAATAAAGTGAATCAGTGTGATTAATTATTAGTGTTTTTAACTTTAATTAGTGTAAAGTGAATTAAAGTGTTAATTTAGGTAATTCTATCGGCAATTTTTATTGTCACGAACCTCAAGCTCGTAACAATTGGTGTCAGAAGTGGGATTAAATCATGCCGATTTTACCTGAGGAGGAAACGGAGGGTGTCCGTACCCGAAGTCAACGCCAGCAGGAGACGGACCAGAGAAGATTTGGTGGTGCAACGCCGCAGACTTCGGAGGGCCAGCCGCAGGCAACGGAGGTCGGCCCGTCAGTAGCTCCTGCATCTGCAGCACCTGACTTAGGTGCTCTGATGGTGATGCTGCAGCAGCTGCAGCGCGGACAGGAGGAACATGCCCGCCGATTGGAAGAGCAGCTGCGGGGCGGACAGGAGGAAAGGGATGGAAGAGAGCTGCGGGGCGGACAGGAGGAACAAGTCCGTCGTTTGGAAGAGCAGCTCAAACGCGATAAGGAAGTTGTGGAGCAGATGCTTCTCATGAAAGATATCCACGCTACCTTCGGAAAAGAGATACGGGAGGTGAGAGATAAGTTTGCTCAACATGACAACCGCCTGTCGGAAGCTGAAACCCGAATCGACCAAGTGAACAATCGGGTTGACAACGTAATGGCTGACATGAAGAAATCACTGGACGAACTCAAATTTGGGTATGGAACTACAGCTCCCGTAGTAGCTACTACACCTTCGCTACGTGGGTTCAAGGTGCCACCGTTCGACGGGACTTCTTCCTGGTCAGCCTATAAAATCCAGTTCGAGGCTGTTATGAAGGCGAACGGCTGGAATAAAAGTCAGGCCATGACTGCTCTCACACTAGGCCTGCGCGACCAGACCTTAACAGTTCTGGAAGCTCTCGGTGAGGAAGTGACTTATGAGCAACTCCTTGAGGCATTGGAGGCGAGATATGGCGACGCTAACCTGGAACACGTCTTTCGTGCGCAGCTTAAAGATCGCGCGCAGCGCATCAACGAAAACCTGCAGCAGTGGGCTCTAGAGGTGGAGAAAATGGTGCGAAAAGCATACCGGTCTGTACCGGCGCTCATTGAAGGGAACCTGGTGCAGACATTCATCGACGGCATCCGCGACCTGGAAGTCAGAGCTGCTGTGAGGCTCGGGCACCACGAGACGCTTAAGGACGCCTTGGCCCATGCACTGGAGGTGGAAGCCGTGCGGCAGGATCTTCGTTCCCATCGCGTCAGGGAGGTTGCAGCAGCTACAGTTCGCGACCGAAACAAAGGATACATCCCTAGGTGCTATGGCTGTGGGGAAAAGGGCCACCTTCGATCCAGCTGCCCTAAGCGAACCCTAGAAAGGGAAGGTGAACGATCTCAGGAGGGTAGTGCGGCCAACAGCACCGCCCAGCAGCAGCGGGGAAACGAGTAAAAGCCAGAATTGCGGGAAGGGTGCTGGCTGATGTTAAAAGAGCCCCAAGGATCTCGATCTCACAAACCCACGATGGGAACAGTCTAATCATCAAGGGCGAGGTCAACGGAATGCCGTGTAAACTGACTATAGACACTGGAGCCTCTCGTACGGTTGTTAGTTCCTAACTAATAAGTCAGTTCCTTGGGGACTCCGCATACAACCGAGAACGCATTAGTTTGGTAACAGCCACCGGTCAGCGTATACCCGTCCGTGGAGAGAAAAAAATGGAGTTGAAGCTAGGCAACATGATCTACCTGCATAATGTCATCGTGGCTGATATAATGGACGACTGCATCCTGGGCCTAGACTTCATGAGGAAGAATTGTTGTGCGATTGACGTTAAGCAAGGTGTCTTGAAATGTGGACAAGAGGAACTTTTTGTGGAAGGAGCGTTACCAGGGAACGTGTACAGCCTTGAGAAGATTGTTCTTCCGCCGAGATCGGAAACGATTGTGCCGGTTAGTCTTCCTCGGAATCCTGGGCAACCTCATCGTTGTGTACTCGTGGAAAGGTTAGAAAATGACCTTCCATGGAAAGTGACTCGAACCTTGGTCAGAATCACTAAAATCTCAGGAGTACGTGTGCTGAACCTTTGTGGCCAGGAACAGATTATAGAAAAAGGCACACTGGTTGGTACTTGTGAGGAAGTGTGTTGGTTACGTCGGTGCCAATATCTATCGACTGGGACCCCCAGCAAGGATGCACAAACGAGAGTGAGCACACTTTTAGAAGACTGTCGCAGCGTTCTCTCCCCGAATGAAATGGTCAAAGCGAAGAAGTTGTTACTCAAGTATGCCGATGTATTCTCATCAAACGATGCTGACATAGGAAAGACTGGCTTAGTTCAACACAAAATAAACACAGGCGAAGAATTGCCTATTCGACAGCGGCCAAGAAGATTGCCGGTAGCACGTGAAAAGGAAGTGGAAACCATGATTGAGGGAATGGTGAAGGATGGTGTTATTGAACCTTCATCAAGTCCATGGTGTTCACCCGTGGTACTGGTAAAGAAGAAGGATGGCAGCATGCGGTTTTGTGTTCACTACCGCCGTCTGAACGACGTTACTAAGAAGGACAGCTATCCCTTGCCAAGAATTGACGACACTATGGACATGCTTACAGGAGTAAAGTGGTTTAGCACGCTGGATCTAAAAAGTGGCTACTGGCAAGTTGAAATTGACCCTAAAGACAAGGAGAAAACTGCGTTCTCGACGGGAAAAGGTCTGTGGCAATTTAAAGTAATGCCGTTTGGATTGTGCAATGCTCCAGCAACGTTTGAAAGGCTGATGGAACTTGTACTTACCGGGCTAATTGGCGATGCCTGTCTGGTCTACTTGGATGACATCATCATCGTGGGCCGTACGTTTGAGGAACACCTTCAAAACCTGGAACGCGTGCTCATGAAGATTCAGAGTGCCAACCTCAAGCTGTGTCCGAAGAAATGTTCACTATTCAAACGGCAAGTCAACTTTTTGGGGTATGTCGTGTCGGAAGAAGGTATCCGCACGGATCCAGAGAAAATCGCAGCTGTAAAGGATTGGCCGGTTCCAAAAAGCAAGACGCAGGTTAGAGCATTTTTGGGTTTGTGCTCCTATTACCGGCGATTTGTGAAGAACTTTGCAGATATAGCCAAACCTCTGCATAAGCTAACCGAGGAGAAGCGACATTTCTGCTGGGATTAAAGTTGTAATATCGTATTCCAGGGGCTCAAGGACCGTCTGTGCAACACCTTTTTGGGATACCCTGATGCAAGCAAAGAATTTATAGTTGACACAGACGCAAGTGATATAGGACTTGGCGGTGTGTTGTCTCAACGGAATGGTGACCAAGAGGTCGTGATAGCATACTTCAGCAAGTCGTTGTCAAAACCGGAAAGGAACTATTGTGTCACAAGACGCGAATTGCTAGCTGTGGTAAAGTCGTTGCAGCATTTTAGCAAATATCTTCTG